GTTCACAAATCAGTTGCTGTGCCATCGTCATCACTTCACTAATGAACTTCAACCCCATTCTAATGGCTCCAATGGAAAACTAAATAATGTTGAATAAAGTGCTCCCAGAGAAATTCAAGATCTTCGAAAACTTCTGTCATAAACTATTTGCTGTAGCCCAGAGATGGTAATACACTTTTACCACTTAATACATCAATACGAAAAGCTAGAAACAAAATCACAAATTAAACCGGGAGTTGGTGCAAAGATTACAGACTCGATACTGTCACAAAATAAACAAAATGCTTAAAATATTAAAATGTGAAGACAAAAACAGTGTTTACGAGTCTCTATATATAAGTCCATGTGAAACCTTTTTATCGGCTGCATTTTATTGATTTAATAGAACAGTATGAAGTGAAAATATGACAGTGGGCTCAAGGGAACACATCCCAAGCCTCGCTGCTATTTGCTATTCCCAGCTGTGTGCGCTAATCCACTTTGGTGATCACTCCATCCCAAGTTCTCCTATTGTTTTTCATCATTGACTCAATGGGGGAAAAAAGAAAAGAAAAACATGTATTCCTCTAAGCTTGCGTGAGTAGAGAGAGTTAACGCCGGAAGATGGAAATAGATCATGAAAAAGTCAAATGATTTCCTAGTCACAGAGCCACTTACAAACAGAATAGAGAGGATATGGAGAATTGTGATAGCATAATTCACAGTGTATAGACTTCAGAAGCCAGTGCTGGAGTTGTTGAAATTTAACAAGAAATGTGGTGGGGGTAAAATGCTGATCTCCGACTTTTTCCCCAGAAGAGCTAGTTAACTGGGAAGATTTTTAATGAGAAATGGAGAAAAAACCCACCCACATTCATCCCCAACAAATCAACCCCTGGGACTACAGTAGGAGTCGTGTTTGCATTTCACAAAGTGTCTTGCAAAGGGGAAAAAGTTAAGGTAGAAAAGTGATTTGAATTTAATAACAGGACGGTGATTGTACAGCCCGTTGTCACCACAAATGTATTGTGCTGCTGTGGCTGAGTTGCTTCACTTTGACCTCTTTCTGTATAATGTTCGGGAAAATCCGGGTGAATTATCAATAGTAATGTATGTCCTTATCTAAAAGCATTAGGCTTAAAAATGTACATTACAGTGAATTGTGACTATTTAGTCTTATAATAGATACATTATTTTTTTACTGTATCCATCCAATTACTTATCCAACAGTTGGTCGCAATAACGAGCCAGTTTAGAATTGGAAAATTACAACAAAATTAAATAAATAGCAAAAGGGACTGAACAGAATTTAAGTACACCTAACTTATTACAAAATGGGTCCAATTGTCTTATTCAAAACTTATGACATTGTGGGTGAATATCATCTCAGAAATCAGACAAATTATCATCTTAACCTATATAATTTAACCAATAATCTATAAAAAAAAATATTCCCTGCCTGGATTGATTACGATGTGCAATACCAGTAACTGAATGTGAATCTATGAGAAAAAAATTACAGATCAAGGACGGCCTCACTGCATGGGGCAAGCGAATATATAATATTACACTTATACAGCAATAAAGGTCACAAAAAGTGCTTCAAACATAATCCCAGAATAAGTCCACAACAATGTATTTAGATTTATAAGACTGTCTAAGACGCCAATGAATGATATGGAAAGGGCCAATATACACAATAGTGGTACAGTGATGGGAAAAAATATCTAGCATCACCTAGTGGCCCTAATTCGCTCCTACATATTATTCCCGGATACTGCCCAGCACATACACTCTTCATTATCACCTTTAGTACCTTACAAAAGCCACGGCTGAAAAAGTGTTGCTCTGATATTAGTGTTGCTGCTGCAGCGCTATGTAGATGGATAATTAGTGTCTATTTAGAGAGAGGGCAGCCTAAGTAATGCACAAGGGATTTTTACTTCATTAAAAATCAATTATGATAACACACGTGCCAGTGCAACACAACCCTCGTGGACAGAATTACTCGCACGCTCACATGGGCAAAGTCTTGTGGTATTTCTAACCATCTTTACAATTTCAAAATATATGCTGTGAGATGTTCGAATTGATCGTTTTCGTTCTTACGCTTACCAGAGATTGTCCTGATCCCTCTCTTAGCTGAGGAAGTGCAGGCCTTGCAGTATTACATAAATACCGCTGTCACTCACACAGACCATACTGGGACAAATAAGGTTTTCCAAAACAACCACTATTTATTCTAGATATTACATAATTTTCCACATTTGAATTTCACAACCTGTGCTACAAGGACCAATTGAAACACACTGCCCAAGGTCGTCTGGGTTTGTTAAAAAAGGAATAGTATAAAAAATGTATTATTGGGCTGTCATTATTTTTCAATGCCACAAAATTTGACATATTGTCCCATGTTTACAGAAATTCAAATTTGTGTGCATGTTTAGATAGGAGAATACCATTATAAGTTACCAAAAAACACAAAAATAACCAACATGCCTTGGTGCTTTCCCATAATCCTTTTCTGCAGCTAAATATTAATTTCTGCTGCCAGCGTGTATTGTCAAGTGCACGGGGAAGTGGGAGTCGGACAATCCATAAGCCTATGACATCACTTCCTGCGAGCGTGTGACAGCTTAGCACATCATTGCCGTGGCAGGAGACGATATTCTCGAGTGGGTGGTCGCCCTGGCAACCTCAATGCTGTCATGACCGTCTTCTTATATCCCACCTGACAGTCCCCATCGGCAAAAAGGCACCGTGCACACGCCTAACAATGCACAAAACAGCGCCCACACACGCATACAGTAGCATAAATTCACATTTCGCTCACATTTTTATTTCTGTACTTACTCTATAGCTGGGAGTTTATAATGACGGGGAGATGCTTGCTCGAATCATAAAAAAGAAAGGAAGAACAATAAAACAATCTATGCTTACATGCTGGACTGCTTCAGGCTTGGTAATGCCATGCAAAGACCAACACAATAACCAGCAAACAAAACATAGCCAAAAATTTACCGTAATCACTCAAACTAGAAAACAAATGTTCAAACCACTTTAAATAATTAGCATGCATATTCATAGCACTGTAGCAGGTGTGGGGTGGATTTATTTAGCCCTGATTCAGTTCCTCCTGGAATTTTAGAAATGCACATAACTTCAGACAGTACTGAATAACGTTAACCGCATTTCCTGCTTATGGAGAGTATTGATAGTTTAGCATCACATCCAGCCTGAAACTGACCTGTTTTTACTGACTATAAATAGTCCGATACAGGCCCCATTCATTGACAGCACAGTGTGTGCGTAGTCCCGTCCCAGTCCAGTGGTCTGACCCAGTTTGGAGCTGGTAGGGTAGAAATCACCAGAACTGGGTCACGTCTTCACCAAACCATAAATCACCAAATACATAGCAAGGACACTTTAAGAAGAAGTAGTGGAACGGTAATATATGGGTATTGGGTACATGGGTATTACGTATATACAATATAACATGTATATTGTAATGTCATGTAATGGATTATGTAATGAAATAAAACCTGCAGTTCCCTAGAAGTTTTATATTAGTACTTAGGGCGATGTGTAGACAGAAAACTGGACTGACGGGTTGCATATTATGTATTTTACATCATTGTCTGTGCTGTTTCACGGGTAACCCCCTTAAACAGGCAACTATCAACCACTGCATTTTACAGACCAAACTGTCTCTATTTATTCTGATACAGGATTATCCAATTAAACTAATTTCACACTCAATATTCCAATGAGTCAAATCATTTATAAGTTTTGTTGACTATATATATTTACAGCAGATGAAATTTCTAACGTACCTCTACAATGAGATTACAAGTGAATGGCTATTTCAGATGTAGCTAAGGCCGGGCTCAGCGGAGGTAGTGCAATGGGAAATAATTTAGGATTAGAAAGGCTGCCTAATCTCTTTATAGACAGTGTGCCATCTCAGCAGACATACCTGACTACCTCTCAACACACCAGCTGCACTCCTCATTTATCAACATTATGGACAATTAAAGACAACTGTGACCGATACGTGCTTCTTTGCATTAGTTTATGTTTTGTGCCTTTGTCATTGACTGTACATGGATCTACCTATACACAGTAAGTATGGATTTGTGTAAGAAGTGAAATTGTAGAAGTAGCGAAAAACAGGAAAGGAATTGAGAGAGCCTTTGTGAAAGAGATCTACAATATTTACTTATTTCATCGCGACGATTGCAACTGGTAGTAGTAATTTGTTTGTACATATTTCACACCTATCAGCGGTGCTTGCTGTTGGTTTGGGTCTGGAGATAATGATTTGTCCCATGTAACTTTCTTTACACTGCTGAACCCTTGCGCCACAGATTATTAAAAGTAGAAGAAAAACAGCCTAGATTAGGGTCTGAAAGGGTCTAAATGACACAAGGCTGGCCAAGTTAGGAAAAGTCATCAAAATTCAGCAAACAACAAAAATTGGGTATTCTTAAATCCCTGTGCAGGGTCAATTTTTCCCGAGGATAGCACAAGGGTTAAAGTTTAAAGAATAAAAAAAACATAGAATTATTCATTTGAGAAGTTGTTGTAAAATGGCATTTTATAATTCAAGAAGACTTTGAATTTGTGTGACAAAGTCGGGAGTAAAACGTGAAATAACCATTTTCTCATTATAAGCATAACCTTTATAACCTGTAAGGGCCGGTTCTCCAGCTCTGACACTTAGAATGACACTTAGAAAGCCACTCAGACAATTACAGCCGCCTTTCGCTGTCTGTGGTGTGGCACTCGCACAAAGGCACAGACCCAGGGCCCGGGTCATTCTGCCCTTGTGAAGTCTTTCCTCGAGCGACACTCACAGCGCTGTTACTACATCCAACCAGGTCATGTGTTTGTCCCATCTTTTAACCTGAAATTGGTGTGAGCAGCTGTGAGCAACGAGGAAGAAAAAAACCCCAGCAGACTCACACTCATAAATTTGTTGCACTTTTGAGAAATGTTAAAATTGTCTTCTTTTTTTGCAGCCCAAATCGAAGTTATACCATGCAAAATCTGCGGAGACAAATCATCAGGCATTCACTACGGGGTCATCACATGTGAAGGATGCAAGGTATAACAGCTTTCTCCAACTCAAATCTCTGTTTTAACTTGTCAGCATTCACCGTGTCTTTGGCTTTTTGGCGAAGCATTTCTCTAACCTTTAACAATCGTGTTCATTGTGAATTTTTAACCAGGGCTTCTTCAGACGTAGTCAGCAGAACAACGCATCATACTCCTGCCCTCGCCAGCGAAACTGCCTCATCGACAGAACGAACCGAAACCGCTGCCAGCACTGCCGCCTGCAAAAATGTCTCGCCCTAGGAATGTCCAGAGATGGTGAGAAATTAACCAAATGCAAATTGAAATGTACTGTAGTTCAAACTTATCTGTACGTTTCGACTAGGACTTGGTAAGAGTGTGATAAAATACTATAATTTATTAAGCCTGATTTATAATTCTCACATTACTACTGAGAATACATGGCAATAAACAATAATATTGAAACTAACACTGTCACCTTAACTCCAATGCAGAATATAAATGAGCCGTTTAGGTACCAGAGTATTTCCTGAAACGTGAGGAGGAAAAGCAAAAGGTGGAGCCTTGAAACTTTTTAAGGGATAGAGGACAAATAATATCAAAAACAGATATGAATAAAATATATGTGTGTCTTGGTTCTGTTTCAATGGTTAAACTAAATCAGCATTATTATTTAGACACAATCTGCTAAAAAGCAAATGCTGTAAAAACCTTTCTGCAAAAGAAAACTCACAATAAATTAATATAATGTACAACCAATGATTCAACTAATATTGCAATTTAGGTCTGACAAAGAGGGTGAGATTGAACACAGGCAAATCAAGGGGAGAAGGCTTATAAATGATAGCTGATAGATGATTCGAAGGCTAACTTGTTTTTCGTTTTATTTCCTCCATACAGCTGTAAAATTTGGTCGTATGTCCAAAAAGCAGCGTGACAGTCTGTACGCAGAGGTCCAGAAGCACCAGGCGCGACTGCAGGAACAGCGGCAGCAGCAGACCGGGGAGGCGGAAGCTTTAGCACGCGTTTACTCCACCAGTCTAACCAACGGACTGTCCACCCTTAACCATGAGATTGGGGGCACGTACGCCAACGGTCATGTCATAGAGCTACCCAAGGGCGGCCATGGAAACGGAGGGGTCCCAGGATACTATGGCATTGACTCCACTCAGGCCTCGCCCGACCAATCAGGACTGGACATGTCAGGCATGAAGCACATCAAACAGGAGCCTGTGTATGACCTCACGCCGGTCCCAAACTTGTTCAGCTATGGAGGCTACCAGGAGACTCAACTGGGACCCAATAATGTTAGCATGGGAGAGCTAGGTAAGAATATTATCAGCAGAATATTGAGAAGTCTGAATGGACGAGATACAGAAGATAATCTGAGAGATCAGGCCAGCTTACGCTCATACCTGATTGATATTGATTAGGAAAGGAAAATAAGATTACATCTGAAGTACCTAACGTTGAAACCACAAAGAATTGTAATAAAATCCATGTTACTAGTTCCTAGGTAAAAAACTGTATGGTGCTACCAGCCAATCAGCTCTCAGTATGTAAAGGATGTTTTCTAATAAGATCAAGACACCATCTTGCAGTCTGAACATGACTGTAGGGCCCAAGCAAATCTTTTGATGAAAAGTATAAGCAGTCACTCCAGTAAAAAAAAAAAAAACAAACAAAAAATGTTGCGTGTTTGCCTACTGTTATTTTTAATGTTAATACATACATCACTCAAACTGAATGGGTGTAGAAATCAGCTGTTCCATGCATATGCTCCTAAAAGTGAATTGCATTCAATTCTATTTGTCAAAAGATGGATAAAAGTGCTACAATAGTTAGAAATAACTCGTCCACTGGATCAAAGCATACATTTGTTGATAACCTGAATATGTGTTACAGACCGTATTGCTCAGAATATCATAAAGTCCCACTTGGAGACATGTCAGTACACGGCAGATGAGCTGCAGCAGTTAGCGTGGCAGACACACTCCTACGAGGAAGTCAAGATGTACCAGAGCAAGGTGAGGATTTGGGTTTAAATTTAGTATTTGACTTTTTCTTTTGGCTTTTCCATTTGGATCATTTAATTTGCTGCAATAATGTAGAAGTAACCTTGCCAGAATCCCTTTCTGACCTCTCAAATGGTCAAAGCTTGAAGCTAGCACAAAGAATATCCCTTTTCAAAATAGGAAATGGTGCATGGTGGTGTATTTCTATAAAAATATCTCTTTATAATAAGGACATATTTTTCCTCTAGCCTCGGGACGTTCTGTGGCAGCAGTGTGCCATCCAAATCACCCATGCAATTCAGTATGTAGTGGAGTTCGCCAAGCGCATCTCAGGGTTCATGGAACTGTGCCAGAACGATCAGATCCTGCTCCTGAAGTCAGGTGAGAACTATTAATGGACCAAAGATATATTCTCTGAAAATGATGAGAAATAAATAATAATGCTTTTTTTGCCTTAGGCTGTTTGGAGGTGGTCCTGGTCAGGATGTGCCGAGCTTTCAACCCTCTTAACAACACTGTTCTGTTTGAAGGGAAGTACGGCGGCATGCAGATGTTCAAAGCACTAGGTAAGACTTCCAGGACATTACCGCTGTCCAAATGAAGGCAAAATGCCCTTGGTTAATTTTAGATCTTTTTGCTCAAAAGACATGGCTCTAAAAAGAATAATGACATTCTCCTTTCTGTGTGCCCTTCACTGCCGTCTTCCTCCAAGGTTGTGACGACTTAGTGAGTGCGGTGTTTGACTTTGCCAAGAGTTTGTGCTCGCTGCAGCTCACCGAGGAAGAGATCGCTCTGTTTTCAGCTGCTGTACTCATTTCCACAGGTCAGTGCGCAGACTCCACATATTTTGGGAACATAAAAAGAACTGCTCTAAAACCAAACCTGTAATGAATCATGGTCTAACTGTAAACATGTTTATGTCTTAGATCGACCGTGGCTGATGGAACCCAGGAAGGTTCAGAAGCTACAAGAAAAGATATATTTTGCCTTGCAGCACATAATGCAGAAGAACCACATGGATGAAGATGCATTGGCAAAGGTAATTCATTCATTTATAGCACACAGTTCAGTACAAGCCATTACAAAACAAATAAATAGAATGAAAATAAAAGCCTTAGAGTTGAGCAATACTGAAACATGATATATTGTAGAGCTATTCACTATTTACTATTCCAGAGCCTAAAATATTTACAACATATCTTGTTTTTTATTTTGGTCATGGGATGCTCTTCTGATAATATATTTCTGAACTACAGCCAGAACTTTATAATCAATTTCTATAATGAGTAATAGGGAAATCATTAAATGTTGCATATTAAGTGGGGAAATTTCAGTGTTGCCTCACCAGTTACAGAACATTAGGAGTGAGAAGCACACAGCACAACATAACTCTATACTGAATAAAATAAGATACAAAATCTCTTTCTGCCAAGTATAAAATCCCTATCTTTAGCATAATGAGTACAAAAAACTCTGACTTTATAAAGGATAGATCTATTATATATGTATTGATAATTATTAATTAATTTGTTTTCCCTGTGTGCAGCTGATCAGCCGGGTCCCCACACTGTCTGCCCTGTGCACGCTTCACACAGAAGAACTGCAGGCCTTTCAGCAGCTCCACCCCGAAACAGTCAACGTCCTGTTCCCTCCGCTTTACAAAGAACTATTCAACCCGGACCCAAACTCCACAATGACCATGCCCAAGTGACTACCTGCGGCCCCACTGCTGCACACACAGCCAGCAGAGGGCCACCAAGAGCAACAATACAAGACTCCTGCCACCTCAGGCAAGACGGACAGTGACTTCAGGTCATTTGGGCTGCATACGTTAGAAGGGAGAGAGGAGGACACATCACCTGCCAGAGACTTACAGCCAACTACTATAGGAATGTCCAGCACTTACTCCATCTTGTTCACCGATACAGTCTGAAGAATGTATATATAATGAAGTAAATGAATCAAAGCCCCCAAAGCCACACAATACAAAATATGGGGGGCTGGCTCATGAACTGAACTGACCAGAAATGTACAGACGTTTAAAAAAAGAAAAAAAATTAGGAACCATTTTAAGCTTAATTAAAAAAATGTTAAGTTAATTTCTTTTAACTTTGAAAAAAATATTTGTTTGACTTTGTTTTATGGAAGGAAGAGGCCGGACTGGGAAGGGAAATGTGGATTTAGAAAAAGCGACTGTAGATATATTCTTCTAGAGCAGAGAGTGGATTCCAGTATTACTTCTGTTAAAAATAACTTAGTCCTAATTTAAATATGCAGCAGCCAATTGTGGCTGGTGATACCATGTCAATGTGTTTTATTTTATTTGATAGTTACTTGTGTACAGAATTTGTAAAGACTTGTAAAAGAATATTGGGTAAAAACCGGGAATTGATTCAGGTTTGTTGATATATAGAGAAGCCTTGTCTGGATTTTGTTCATTATATAAAAAGAAGGCACTATACCCTTCAAATAAGAACATATAGACTTGTAAAGAGAGAAAATATGAAGGATTTTAAAACATGACTTTTCAAGGTAAAAGATGTATACAGAAATATTCTATTTTGCAAAAGTATATGGCACGATTGCCACCGTATCAATCTTATTCACACTGCAATAATGCTAAAGCTGGACTGCTTTAGAACAATCATTGAATACAATCAAACCGTGACCAAACAGGACCTCAGTAAACGATACTAGAGATAACCTTCATCCAGAGACAAAGCAGATAAAAAATGGCCCAGGATACAGTTTATGACGTTGTGTTCTGTTTCTATGACCTTAATAATTTCACTTTTGCACAATTTTGTCCTTGGATGTCAATCACTCCGGGCTTTGAAAATGAAGGACTCTTTTATTTCTATTTTGTTTTGTTTTTGAAAAAGCAATAACATTTCTCACTGCCTTTCTGACCTTCTACTCCTATCCTGCTTCAAGTTGTAGCTTATAATGACAATGCACTATCTCTAGCACCATCAATGATCTCTTTAAAAAGAGTTTGTTTTTTAATTTGATCTGGGGTTAGCACACAACACTAAGCACTCTTTTCAAAATGTGAAGACCGGCTGTCAAAAGCTGGCTGCAATATTACATGTCGAGTTAGCAAACTGTGAAAGACAATCACCACCGCGCTGTAGCATTCCTCATATGAAGCACTTATTGCATCATCTTTTTCTATTTTGACCACTGTGTAATTTGCTGCTAAATTAACTAATTAATATTCAAACTTCTAATCACCAATTACTTTACTTTTTTCCTTTTGTTTATTGTGCTGTTTGCATTACTTTTGAAATGCTGTATGTATAGGAATATCCAAAGGCATTGCTCAAAAAAAGCAAAATGTACAAAATTCTATCTTGTTTTCCGTGACTTATTTAGCACAATCCATTTTAAATACTTTGAAGGACTGGTCCATAATGTTTCAAATATTCGTATTACACAGTGGCCAAACATTCAACTTGCTTTGAAAATATGCAATTAGTTTTCCTTTTCTTTGATTAAAATCAAAACAATTACAATCGTTTTACCCATTTACAGACATTGTAAATCTCATTTTAATTTGCCCCGTCGCCCCAGATCAGAGGCCAGTGACTCTGAAAGACAATCACTTGCTCGAAAAAAGCTTGATGCACTACTCAGCATCTCTCAGGGAGCAGCTCTTTTTCACACTTTGCATGAAGACAGGGTTAAATATTTTTGCAAATTTACATGGAAAAAAATATTATAAATGAAGTAATTTTTGTGGAGAAATGTGGCGTACGGCACCAACATTGGAATATGCCCAGACAAGGCTTTGACAAGTGCGTGAGTGTATGTCTGTAGCAAGCTGGAATTCACTGTTCATGATTATCATTGGCTCAAAGCACAGATGTAACGACCATAAAACCACATTTTCAACTCTACATCATTGACTGTGTATTTTGCTGCTCTTGGGACAAAAGGAGACGTCCAGTAGTTAGCTGTGACTCATACAAGCACGGGGACAGTGAATTCCTGCTCCGAATATAATGTTTTTGTGTATGTTTTGTTTTCTTTTCTTGTTAGACTGTGAATCAAAGGGGTGGGTTGGGGTTGAGACAGGAAGTGCTGGCAACGAGTGGCAACATAACACTGTAAGTAAGATACTGTAGCAATAAGAAATGGAGGCATTTACTACTGTCATGTTTGCATTGTAAGATTATTTTTTATTTTATTACTATTTACTATTATTATTGTTCTTATTATGACTACTATTCTTCTATTACTATTAGCCTATTGTTGTTCTGTTCTATTTGCATGACGTTTCATTGCTATGAAACATTTGGGGCTTTTTGTGATTTCTCTTCTCATGATATTGGGGAGGACGGGATTGCTGACTGGGTGGGCCACGGGTTTAGGGCCATTTCCAGATCGAGTCATTCAGTTCAAAGCAAACATTTTTTCACAAGCTGAAAGCTGAAACCTTTTTTTAAATAAAACGCTCTTATTTATACACAATTTCACATTTTTTTGCTCAATTTCAATGGTGAATTTTCTCTTGAACCCTTTGAATGTGTGAGTTGTGATTTGCCCTGTCTGAACTGGCCTTACTGAACCAGATTATAGACCCAGATCCTTTCGTGGGGCGGGGATTGTTCACATTTGAATGTTAAGGAGCTTCATTGTGAGGGCTGAACATAATCATGCTTTTACTTTCCGTAAACACATAACGCGCACAACAAATGCAGTCATTGATACGATCTGTGGCTAAAAACACATTTTCATACTCTTTACAATACTGTTCCCACTCACTACTTCAGGCCCGCTCCACCCAGGTGATTCTCTTTCCGACCCTGAGAAAAGGTGTGAATGGGTGTGCGAGATGATGTATGACTTTACCAGTGCTTTGTACCTTTCTTTAAGCATTACACAGGCGTGCAACTGGAGTAGTGTTGAGAAGTGTTAAGTTATTGTTTCGAATGTCTTTGCGTCAAAGTGAGAGCAAATAAAACAAAATGTAGCAATCTGTAACAAGAACCTGTGAGGTGCTAAAGTTACAGAAGATCTTTTACACAAAAACAAAAGAAACAATAAAAACAAAACATATGTTGTTTTCAAAGTGCCATAGTTCGAGAGGAAAGGACGACTGGAGTGACGATGCTTTACTGTGTGCATTACTTGAAAAACAATTTTTAAAAAGGGGAAATCCATCAAAATGGTGTATTAGAAATACACCTAACATTTTTTTATTTATTTCTTTACATTTTTATTTTTATTTTATGCTATTTCATTCAAGGGACTGTGATGGACTCTGAACTATAACTATCTAAAAATAACTCTTTATTTATGCATCAATCTGTGTCTGTGTGTGATGCAAGAGTCAAAAGTCAAAGTCCGAAGCTATGCGGATCCCTGAGGGATCCTCCTTTGAGATATAAATACAATGTGAAGAACTGAAGTGATTTTTGTTAAATTCTATATTTTATCGCTTTTGTAGACATTTTGTTGTGGGGAAAAAACAATAAAAAACTTTTAAGGGTGCAGATGTGAGTCATTTTTAAGTATTATGCATGTTTTTTTATTTTTTTATTTCTTAACAAAAAAATCAAGGGATTTACATAAAACATATGTCTTAATATGTAAAGTGATAGCCAGTCATTTTGGAGTGTACTTTCCAAATAAACAATTCAACTTTTGAGAATAAGAATCTTACGCCTTCAAATAGCTGGTCAAAGGCCTGATGACCAGCTAAAGATCCTCTGTTGATCCATCACTGCTGTTCTCTTCATCTGCTGATGTCGACTCTGCGCTCTCGCTGCGGCCCGTGGAGTGCCTCCTTAAATCTGAACAACAGAAACATCAGTTAGCTACATGTCGCTCCAATAACACAATCATTACCACAAGAAAGAGAGTTCTGACAGGCCTGGGAGGAAGTCCGTGCATCTGGCATGAATAATTTGGTTTGATTTGTTGGATAAATCTTGGAGAGGACACAAGAAGAGGAAGAGGAAACAACGCACCTTTGAAATATCAAAACAACTGAGTCTGCATGTTTGCGTTAGTGGGTTTGTTTGCGAAGCCTGTTTGTTTTTGAGCACACTTTCTTTCGGAGCGTTTATCCTCTAGATGCCGGTACCGTGTCTACCCAGAGACGTTAATTAATAGCTAATCAAAGCTAATGTCTCAGCAGCACATTGCCAGCACAAAGACATGATTAATATCTAATCAAAGGCCATGGAGCACAACGCACAAAACAGGGCCCACCCCCAAGCCCCCAACACCACTGTTGTTATAGGAAAAAATGAACATTGGCGGCTTAATTAGTCGGCTGCTGGTGCGTGCCTTTTGCATTTGAAGTTCTTTGGGAATTATCTCCAATATTTTCAGAGCCAACACAGCTCTCCCAAGTGACAACACAGAAGCGACATTTCAGCACACAAAAAAGCCTTAATGTTAACGATGAACAGGGAGTTGTTTAATGCAGCATGAGGTTTAGAGAATGTACTCAAGCAAAATACTGTGGAAGCTTTATCTAAACATTTTGCTGTCATTTTCACATTTGGGATATTTAACAAAACATATTCATTAAGAGGAAAACACACTGTGCACTGAATTTTGTTTTTTGTTTTGTCTTCTAGATACTAAATGTAATATTTTGATGCAGATATTACTGACATAGTGGCAGATAGGAGCTTTCCCTTGTGTGAAAATCAGCAGTCCTCAAATTACATTTTCTTTAGTCCATCAGAGAATAAACATACGTTTTCTGCTGACAAAGAATGCATCATTAATGCTTCAAAAGATGACTTCTTTGGAAATTAGTATTTCATTTTCATCAGGGATGGTCATAAAATTACCCCCAACTTACTTTCAAACCACAGTATGTAATCAAATCCATCAAAGTCAAAAAAGAGGACTACTCTTCCAGCCAATCAGCTCTCAGACCAATATATCAAATAGTGCAAGCTATGTAGATATTATGGTCTGATTTTTAGTTTACTTTTACAAGACACTTTCTGGATGTATTATTTGTGGACAAAATTTGGAACCCCAGCTTTAACAAAACATGTTTTATCATACAGGTAAAACATCTGCCTTTGATCCTCTATCATTGATCCTAGAAAGTCTACATGCCGAGTACCTTAATTCTGAAACATGGAGATCTTTCACTCAGTACCCACCAGTCAAGCCCAGTCGGCGACAGCATGCATTACAGACGTGTTTGCGAAGGAAGACGCTGATGGCTGCTTCCCCAAGGTTATCTGCACCAAACAGCATTCCATCTCTGCCATCACTGCAAGGGCATCACAGAGAACAAATAACTTCAGAGAAACGCCATTAAGGTGATGGTCAGGCATGACATATGTTTCACCTGTGGTTATCTGCCATGATGACTGTTGGATCTGTCAGGGCTTCACCTACTCCTGTCAGGCAAAAACAAATAGGGGTACAAACAATCAATCATACTGCAAAACACATTAAATATAGACATACAGACAGTGCCCTCAGATCTGAAGCACTGCTTGACCAAAGTGCTTAGTGTTCTTAATCTATTACTAATAAATTGGTGTTTATAGAATGATCAAACATTCATTTCCAGAAAGCCTCCATGATGATGTAATATGAGCGTAGAAATGTGTGAATAATATCAGTGGAGCATCCAGTGTTGTTATGCACCTTGTATATCGAGCACGAGCATTTCCCTGCCAGAGTATTCGAACGTCCAATGGGAAAAGGCCAAGAGCATTTCTTCTAATGGACTGCAAGAAGCAATCTCTTCTCCGGTGTTGTGGTTAAACTTCCTGAAGTCACCTGGTATGTTTCTCTCAATAGTGAGCCACTGTCCATTTGAATGCCAGAGTACAAGCATAACATCTAAAAAACTAAATGGAAAAAAGGGAAACATGGTTTGCCAAAAATGAACAATAGAAATAAAGAATGTTAAAGCTAGAGTATCAAACTTTGAAATCACAAAACATTAACTATGTCATAAAACCTATTTTAAATTGTACGTTCTCCAGTTTAAACAAAAAATCTCAAAATACACACTGTGGTGAATACGGCATATGGTCTTCAGGTTTAATCTGGTTGAACACCTTCATCATCCTTTGAGCTGCTCTTTGTTGCTGGATTTCCTTAAAACCAAATCAAGAAAAAAACATGAAAAATTACCTTTTTAATTACAATTCAGTGCTGCCTCCACACTCACTCTTAAACAAAGTTGCAGAGCAGTGCTGCCATGGAAGTATCTTTGCCAGGCCCGGACTACTTCTTGGTAAAATGCTTTAACCACGTACACTTCTCCAGGCATTAAGATGTCTCGCTCTGCCCAGGTACAGAGCACCCTGCAGCCCTGACGAAGACCCCCATACAGAGACCCTTCTTCACTGGTCAGCGGCTGCAAGATGGCGGAAAGGCCTTGTGATGACCAGGAGGCAGCACACTCAGAGGGATCCTCATCCAGAGTGTAAATGCTCACCTCCTCGCCCCCTGAAAACACATACCAGGCCTAAGTGTGGCTAAAATACAGACAAACATAACTTAAAACAAATACATATTAAAGACCTCACCCATGAGAGACACTGGAGTGAAAAGGACATCATGAGCCAGTCGCATCAGGTTGTTTCTCTCCATAGCTGTTAGAATTAAAAAAAGGACCCTTATATGCACATATAAATACACATAGATATGATACAAATAAGTATTATATAATTTGAAGCAAAACAAACGTAATGATCATAACCTGAATAATGTGGGTACAAGTTTTCACTCGACTGAAATGAAGAAGTCCTGACTGCATCAAAAGGAGGAATTAAGTCAATACATTTACAACATTAAAATTAAGTAGATAATACAAAACCTTCACTGGTAGGGACACTCTGAACACTGAAAACAAGATCAAATATGTTGGATATTTAAGCAAGTGACCATTGTCTGTTGTCAATACTACCAACTTACGAAGATCTTCTGACCGATTTGGACCAACTGTTCCAGGCCGAATGAGTAGGGCTCCATAAGTCCTGTATGCAAAGTTAGAGGCTGTAATCTTACTATAAAAAGGTGTCTTTAAATCGAGTTTACTAATACGCTATAATTACCATTTGCCTCTGCAACAAATCCGTTGGTTCAGGGTCTGAAAAATACATGTCAAGTGTATTTAATGTGTTATACGAGTGCATAAAGTGTGCCTACAATTATCATACTGAGTTGGCTGAGGCTCGCAGAAGCAGACCAACGTCTGCTTTCTCCTTTAAATCTTTGTGGTCTTCTCCAGCACGCCTCTGATAATTCGGATTGCAGGGACTATTAAATTCAAAAAGTGTGGTAAGAACAAGTATTTGATGCATTTTGTGCCACACATTGCAACTGCCATATTACGGTGCGGGGGAGGTTCTCTTGTATCTTGACCGTCTTCTTATAGTGTGATTGTTCCTCACTGTCTTTGTCCTCAGCAAAATCAGATGACTTTGACCACTCTGTAATACAATATCTAAAAATTGATTTGTGTAACCAGTTATCCTAACACAAAAGGATCAAAAATGGCTCACTTCTGTCCCTTGTGGATTGTAGCTTTCTGCTTTTGGAAAGAGTGCCTTTCATCATTGGTTCATTGGTATAAAAGACTGCTCTATTTGGATTCTGAGGTTTTCCTGAGAAAGTGATGTTCTCCACACTTGAAGAGAGAGACCTGCAGTACTCATAGGGGTGGTCCCGGGACAGCCGAGACCATCCTGGGTGCTTGGCAGGAGACTTCCACTGGCTCATGAGTCTAGAGTGAGGCCTTGGCTGACTAGTGTCAGAGCAGTATACTGGATGTATTAAACAATCTGAAGTACTTTTAGGTTCAGACAATTCAGACGAGATCTTGCTGACAGGCCGTTCAAGAAAATCAAGATGATCTTGTGTTTTATCCTTTTTTTGGTTTAATTTTGACTCCTGAGTCCAGCATTTCTCACATCCTGTGTCACAAACGTTGGTTGAAAGTGGGGAAAAACCCCTGTGATCTGTATGATGATTAAGACTTGTTAAGACACATTTAAGACCGTTCACTTCCTGCAAGACAAAAAAGCAAAAACAATATAATTAGGTAACAAAAGATTCACTTGAATAAAAATAGCTGGAAATAAGGATGTACTGATGAAGCTTTTCCAATTGATGCCTTAACTTTAGATCTGTCTTATTACCAAAACCAGTGAAACTGGTGATTATTGAACTATTCATTCAATAACTACCAGTATTAAATAATGAATACTTTGATCACTGGAGTTAAAGGTTATCGGTTATATTCCTACTACTATTGGATAACAAACATTCACACCGTATACAAGTCAAATATACGGGAACAATTGATTGTTCGCATATATTTGGGACCGATACGCTGCGTATTTTTACGTATCAACCAAACAACAGTTCCTCCGAGAATCAGTCCATCTCTTATCTTCAATGAAATGTATTATTCAACAGGATATACTGTATTAGTGTGTCCTCTTGTGCCTCCTCTTGCGCCGCCATGACACTCTTGTCTACCAGTCACAGCAGCACAGTCCTTTTGCAGTGGGGGTGGTGTGCAGTAGGTCCGGCTGAGGGGTGCAACATGGTGGGACGATGTGAGGGACTGACATTGCTCTAAGCGCGCCTCCTCCTGGTGCATGCTGCTGGTGGCAGAGAGTAACGTCAGAGCGTCTACGGCCAGAGCAGACAGGTCCTGCAGCAGTCCCAGCTGGACGTCCAAATCTGACAAACTGTCCTGGATGTTGGTGACCTTATCAGAGACATCCCCAACCACCGTGAACATTTCCTCTGCTCTAGAAGGCATAATAAAACAACATATTTAAAGTAATCTTTTGAAGAATATTGACTCAGATCTGCTTCCTGAAATTTTCGCTTATATATGTAGTATTGCTTTGCCTTAAATTTTCCACAAATCTTAGCAGTGCTCTTATGTAGCCTACAACTGTTCAAAATGGAAAGACCTTAAACAAAATCGTTTCCCTTGTTGTTTTGTGCCATTTCGATCTTGCAAGATCTCAACCCAACCCCAATATTAAGGTACACCAGTAATTAACTAAATAATGAAGCAAAATCAGAAAATCAAAAAATCACATAGTGCCGCAAGAAATAATGTTGTATTCTAAATAATCTAAAAATATCTATCAAAATCTGACAATTTGTTCACTTCATGAAGATGGATTTATTGCACAAACCTGTCTGCTGTGACCTTGATTGCATTTATTTGATCCTCGAGGTCTGGCTTTTTCTCATAAAAATAGGCCTCAACACATTTCTCTTCAAATTCATGCAGCTTCTTTCTATCTTCAAACCCCAAGTAGAGCTCTAAAAATGAGAGGCAAACAAATGAGTATGACGATAATTTACCAACACATTGAGTCAATGTAATACGTTTGGAAATTAGGACTCACTCAGTCCAGAGCCTCTATCCTCTCTCTCTACAGCTCCACTCAGTCTTCGATAGAATATTTTCAACACCAGAGCCAAGTGACTGAGAAAAATAAGCGGCGGAGGAAGCCACGGTCTGTCTTGATATGTCATTATGTAGCGGTAACGATTGTACCTCCATAGTTTGTTTGAGGATGAAGCCATATCAAAATAGATGTTGCTACAATGCAATACATTAGTTCATTTGGAATACTGATAGAATAGTATTGGAAAAGAAAACATACTTGAAAAAAGCAATGAGGATGTTGACCATGATGATGTATTGGACAAACATGTAGACAGCCTGGAGGAACGGGGTAAGAAAAGAGGCAGGGGCACATGGCTTACCATCATCACACGCTAAGGACACATCACACACATGTTACATCATACTTTTTGTTATGTTAACCACTGAGATATTTATTTCCTGACAGAAACTTTTGTCTCTGTACCGCATTCATATTGCTTTGGACAGAATAACTTACCATCTATCTCTGAAGCATAGACCTCACCATAGATCATCCAGTATGGCTGGAACACAACATCCTGGAATAGGCTCCAGGACGGTTCCTCATTTGGGGACAAAATGGATTTTCTGGAAACTCCAAAACTCAGCAGTACGATAGCCATCATCACCACAATAAAGAACATGTTTCTTGTCTACAAAGAAAAGGAGCTGAATCATAATTTACAGCTCAATAACAAATATCAACATGAATGCTATTAATTCAATTTGTATACCATTTTAGTGATCATGGTGAGGTAAGGGCCAGCATGTTGATTTACTGCCAGGAGATCCAACAGACGGATGAACCAGAAGATGATGTCCAGGCAGTAGCAAAAGCGGCCCACTGTTCGATAAGGCTCAGAGTACCAGCGCATCAAAAAACCTAACATGAAAAGAATGATGGCAACAAAGTCTGATATGTTCCAGTACTCAGAAAACCAAATCTTCAGCTTCTGACGCAGCTTCCTTGGCTCAGACATGAAAACCTAAAACGAGACATTTGGAATCACAAGAAAACTCAATACCGGTATACACTCAGTACAACCTTCTTACCTCTCGGATTTTCTCCAATCCAATAGAAAACACAAAGGCGATCACCAACCACTCCTGAAAACTGGGTTGGTCCCCCATTTTGACAAGGACAGTGTAAGAGAACAACATCACAAATGACAAATAGGATATCTACAGAAGGAAGAACAAGACATGTTTGCACAAGTCTGAAGAAGTGTAATCTTATATTGGAGTGAAATCCTTACAGTGTGAAACCAGAACTTGACAACAGGAGCGGAGTAAAATTTGTAAATCCGAGTGTCCCAAGACAAACACTGGTGGGACAGTGAGGAGACGGTTTCAGAAAGTGGACCAAGACATCTGTCATGGAAAGATACAGCCCTCTCTGCATCGTCACTGCCCTGAAAAACATAACAGGGTGATAACTGCAGCCAGGATACAGAGGCCTAACTAAAGCATTTTACCATGTGATTCGCTACCATGTTTTTCTCCACTGAATCCACAGAGTCGTGCCCAAACAATATGGCCTCGTGGGACTGTGGCACGTGGCACATTTCAGCTTTGCTTTTAAACTCCAGCATCAAGATGAAAGGTGGCAGAAGAAGGCTCAGTATAATCTGGAAAATAAAATTGAACTATGCTAATCTAATAAATGGACAAAAGATTTGGTAGTATACAATATTTATCAATGGTAATAGAGGGTGTGGCATTTGTGATATGTTTTCTCAAGAAAAAAGTATTGGCCCCTACTAAAACAATCAAAACAAGAATATTCTCTGTCATACATAGCCTGCGCATCATTATATTGGCAGAAATAACAATATATATTTATTTTGTCTTTTCATGTGAATAATGCACGATGTATTGATTGAGATGCTGATCACTTTTGCACACTTGATAAACAGATCCCTTTGTACCTTGAGGAAAGAGTTCTTGCTCATGTTGAGAGATCCAGTCCAGAGGTCAGTGAGGAGGGTCTGGGTGCAGGAGTGCGACACAAACGGCCGGTGTCCAGACGAGACGGCCATTTGAAGACAGGTGAAGTGGCTCCACGCGTCCATCTCTGACGTCAGCAGCTTCATGGCCATCTGCTCATTCTGACGAAACGCACAGTCCAACATGTCCACTGCCAGCTGACCAAACTCCCTGAGCAGCCAACACAGGAACAAGAACTTGTACTGTGTACACACATATATATATATATATATATATATATATATATCTACATTTTAAAATTATATATATTAGCATCATTATTGTGGGCAGTGTATCAATAGATACCATTAATTTATAATTTAAATTATGTTGATGCCTGTTTAGGTCTCCTGTGAAGACCCCACTGAAAGATCAAGGCTATGCTCACAGTCAGAGGGCAGCCGTTCTCCTGTGGACTCACCACCTGCAGAGGGTCAGTGAGGGGCTGGTGCTATGAGACTTGGGTGGCATCTCTGACTGCCACCCCCCTGACCCAGAAATGGATTAAAGGGTAGAAAATGGATGGATGGATGGATGATGCCTGTTTATACTATGCATATAGTAGACAGAGACAAGTTTTTTTATTTTTTTATTATTATAATATTTTTTTTAATACATATTTCTGTGTTTTTTTTATCCATTTATTTTTCTCGCTGTCTGTTCAGCACTTTGGTAAGCCTAGGTTGTTTTAAATGTGCTCTACAAATAAAGATTTGATTGATTGATTGATTGATGCATATTGTGACATAATTCATATGAAGTGTGTGCAGGAAGTGATTTATGGGCAAAATATAATTGGATTATATATCAAAGGCATTTCTCCGAATGTTGCTCATATTTGTGATTTGCCATCGCAAAAACATTTCCCAGTTTAGCAGATTATTATTAGAAATACTTAATTGTTGATAACTCTAAATGAACCCCATATTGTGAATCTGATCTATTTTCTATCTTTGAACTCCTGTGAAGCTCACAGAGAATAGGCCTTGAACTGCTCAGAGATGTTGTCATCCATGCAGCTCTGCCTGGCCTCAAAGGCCATGGAGCGGTACAGTTTGCAGGCTACTGTTGCTCGCGCGAGAGCCTCTTCACCGTGTTGCCAAAGAAACAGCGCCATCTGCTGTCGCTGCTGAAGCACTGCCCACACAAAAAGGTCATTGAAATTAAAAGAAAGAAATGGAGGGCTGTCATCAAAAGTGGAATGAAGAGCCCTTTCTTTACTGGTTCCTGGGGAAGCATCAGAACCCTGAATATTACAAAATAAAAATAAAAATTCAGTACTTTTTAAGAGCAATATTAGATTCATGTACTTAAAGTAACCAACTTACCTTGTGTTTATATGGCTGTGCAGTCCTAAAAAAAAAGTTTTGAGAAGTTCTTGTTTGTATTGAAAACAGTGAGGATGAGCTGTCGCCTTGAGCAGCCTTTAAATTTCAAACCAAAGTTATATAAAGTCAAATTCTCTTTTTTTTTTTTTTTAAAGAATCTAACCTTGTTCTGGAGGTGGTTGTACGCAGCTCTGAACTGTTTACGTGTATATGAGCTGCGATACGCACCACCAATTAAATACTCAATAACTAGGCCCATGTCGATGATGGAGAGGTGGTAGTTCAACGGCAAAGAGGTCTACAGTTTGTATAAAAAGTAGTGGACACACAGTAATATAAATATACACAAGTACTGTCTTTATAAATGAAACAATGTAATCCTACTTGTTTCACATCTTCTATGAGATGATGGAAAAAACTTTTCATATGCCCTTGGGAGTGCTGCAAAAGAAAAAATAGACAGTAATAACAAAATTATGCCGTGAGCTGAACTGGTTTGTACGAACTGTGTTGTAGAGCTTCTCGAGTCGATCGATGGTGAGGAAGTGGGTCATTGTCATCCCATTATCAATCAGGAGTTTGACAAAACTGACACGGTCCATCACCAGTGCATCTAGCATACTCTGCTCCAATGACCCCACCTTAACAAGTCATACATTTATGTGTAGTTATGTGGTTATAATTCAAATGAAATAATAATCCTCACCTGCCAATGCTGCCCACAAACCAAGACATCCTTCTGAGCAATGTCAGCCCTGTCCCAGGCCAGGGCCAAGCTCAGCTGCTCAGCAGGACTGGCCTTGATACCTTTAGGGAGTATTTAAGAGTCAAATAAAGAGTGAGGGAAAACAACACATCTTAAAATTATTATCTTCTCTCTTCTGAGAGAAAACGGGTACCTTTCAGTGTGGCCGTCAAAATGGCAGCGTCTGGACAAACTTGGTCCTCAGATTCAGAGTCATAAATTGTTATCTAAGTGTGGAGTAACAGTGAAAAGTGAATGAGGAATTTCAGGGGAATACTGGTGCAATAGATCATGTTAAATGTACAAACATAATAAATAAAGTGTGGCTTACACACGGCCTATGATCCATGCATTGCAGAAGCAGTGAGTAAAGGCGAGAGGCCTCAGATCGATCAACTTCAAACACCTGGCCAATCTTAATGAGGAAGTCATCTTTTAAATCAGCTTCCAGTTCACTAAAACACAACCCATTTTAAAAATAATGTTTCAGTTTATGAAGCTAATGGTGAGTGAGTACTTGTTTGTAGCCGTCTGCTTGTGCAAGAAGGCGAGCAGGTCAGCAGCACGACCTGATCCTTCAAACACAAACACTGGGACAGGAGGGACACTGCTCACATAGTCCAACACTGTGGAGACTACAGCGGGACCACCCTCCAGCACGACACACACCACAGGCACCCCCAGGTTTAGCCCTATAGAGCAACACAGGTAGCGGAATTAATATCAACAATTTGAGACATCTTAACTGTTAAAGGTGAAACTTACTCGGGTGAATCTTTTGTGAATTGATTAGTTTTTCCAGTTTTCTCCTCAGACCTTGTTGGCAGCCATGTTTTCCAAGTGTCCCATCATCAACAAAGAGGAAATGTGAGTGAAAACCATTAAGACAAGCACGTTTACTGAGAGGGTTACCCAGCGACTGATACGGTCTAAATATCTGCACATAATTAAACCAGAAATTAATGCATAATAACAAACATCAAATCTGAAGAATTGTCCACATACATCTCTACCGATGAGATCTGCATTGTTGTCAATCAGTCCCCATGGTGTGACACCAACAGTATTTCTCTTCCTCAAATCGTGGCCTCCATATATTTTCACTGCATCACCAACATACTTGGACACACCTAAAAGAAAGGTTTCAATATTAGAATGTTGATTTATTTTATTTTTTTCCAGAAATCAGTAAGCCAGAATCTACCTCAGTTTTATTGTTGGAAATTATTCCAAAATCTCACAATTTGGTGCTATTGCATCCATGATTCAGCTGTATAGCAATTTATCAATACCCATGACATAGTGGAGCATTTTGTCTTAATTTGTAGTCTTAAAATGCAGTTTTAAATTACGAAAACATGTGCTTGTGTAAGTACAAATAAAAAACTTTTATTTTTTTAGTTGGTTTTGATTTCATAGAGGTAGCAAATAGAAGCATTGTCCGTTTTTTATTGTGGACGTGAGTGACCAAGTGAGTATACAAAAAAACCCATACCTGTATTGATGCCGTTAGTGAGTATCCAGGCCCCTGTGCTCAGAGCTGCAGTCATTAGTCCTTTGCTGAAAGCCTGCTCCACTTTAGAACTGAGGGAGAAGTTTTTGGAGCCTCCCTGGACACTGAGAAGCAGTTTGGGCCTCTCCATCTGCCACTCCTTCATCATGAGCTGAAGTATGGCCTCTGGCTTTGAGTCCACCGCCAAACGGAGATACTGAAGTGTGGATTCTCATTTTAGAACTTCATCTTTTCAATATATTATGAAGCAGAAATTATTTTGAAGCGTGAAATACAACATATTGGGAAAACTACTTTATAAAGAACATGTAGGGGAGGAAGAAAAATCAGTCACTTCAGTCAACATCTGTCTTTTTGAAACGGTCCTTGAGGAGTGTTACAACTGTTTTCATTGAAATATATTTGTAACATGAGTAAGATGCGTGTTTACAGTTAATTAACAGTGAACTTTACTGTATACTTTCAAACTTTTGTAATTTGTATTGTTATGGACCGGGAAAAATAGCATCGTTTATATTGATTTTATTATATTTTTTCTCTGCCCTATAGTTATAATAATAATAAGTATCCCTCTCTGCTGTTTGTAAGATGCAGGGAGGATATTGATCTGTCTCGATAATAAGAACGATAATAAGAAGTACCTTTAGCTTGTGCATGTTTACGTTTACAACAGAAGGCAGGGTGATCTCATATTGATTTATTTAAAATACTTAAACAAAACACACAAAAACAAAACTAACTGAGCATAATATTCAATTCAATCATATGAAATGATGAGAGGAACGAGGACACACGAGTAAGCGAGGTAAACTATAAGACGAGTGACCCAAACTCTTGTTCAATGTGTCTGCCACTTACCTTGGCCCGGCAGACTCTTGTGGCAGTGTCTTCAAAGTCCACTGTCCCATAAGCGTCAGTGGGAGTGGGACAAGTGTGGAGCTCCACACACCAATCCTTGTCTGGATCTGGACCAGGGTTCAAGGATATAGGGGGAGTAAAGTTGTGCGAAGTATGCTCCCCCATCAAGCGACCACAACAGCATCTTTACAACAACAAATAAAATGTAGGTGAACTGAATGAACTATGCAGATATGAAAGACATTCAAATATGATAACGATAAGTACAAAAAGTAATAAAAAAGACACAATGATATGAGCTATTTTGGGTAATAGACATGTAGTTAATGCATACCTTATTAGGTTTAGACATACTTGACACACTGGAACACATCTGCATGAGTAAAGGAAATCACAAAGTATCATAGAACAAACATGTCATGTTAATGTGTTACTGTTTAACTAACAAAAATGTTGGAAGCTCATAAACATAAAATAAAGTAATTACCTATGCAGGTCTCGAGAAGAAGAGATAAACTTTACACACTCCCTCTTGAAGAAGTTGTCCTCAATCCATGATTTTCGAGACTGAAATGATAAAGATGTTGTAACAATAGTAATAAAGCTAGAGGCCTGAGGATCATTTCATATAAAATTTAGCAAATGTAAAAATCATTCAGCAATAATAACATTACTTGAATTTTTAAGCTCATAACAAGAGAAATAGTGATTCTCTGCATAAGCTAAAGCTAGCTTCTCTTCACATGTAAGTCATTGAAGTTCAATTGCACTAGTTTATTTTCCTCAAGCTTCCCTTCCTATACATGTTCCCAAGATAGATGTAACAATGGCCCACTCCAAAAGCATTGTTTATAGAGACCATGCACAGGCCCCTTCCTGAGATTAGCTGAAGATAAATTTGGTGTGCCACTTCCACCTTCTGTCTGTGACTCGAAGTTGGTCAATATAGTTTTGCTATTGCACTTATGAATCAATACAGACACTCAATGGGGCCAATGACGAAAACGAGGCCATTGCCATGTAGCTTGATAATTCTAAACTAAATACAGTGGGGCAAAAAAGTATTTAGTCAGCCACCGATTGTGCAAGTTCTCCCACTTAAAACAATGACAGAGGTCTGTAATTTTCATCATAGGTACACTTCAACTGTGAGAGACAGAATGTGGGGGAAAAAAATCCAGGAATTCACATTGTAGGATTTTTAAAGAATTTATTTGTAAATTATGGTGGAAAATAAGTATTTGGTCACTTCAAACAAGGACGATCTCTGGCTCTCACAGACCTGTAACTTCTTCTTTAAGAAGCTCTTCTGTCCTCCACTCGTTACCTGTATTAATGGCACTTGTTTGAACTGGTTATCTGTATAAAAGACACCTGTCCACATTCTCAAACAGTCAGACTCCAAACTCCACTATGGCCAAGACCAAAGAGCTGTCCAAGGACACCAGGAAAAGAATTGTAGACCTGTACCAGACTGGGAAGAGTGAATCTACAATAGGCAAGCAGCTTGGTGTGAACAAATCAACTGTGGGAGCAATTATCAGAAAATGGAAGACATACAAGACCACTGATAATCTCCCTCGATCGCAAAATCTCATCCCGTGGGGTCAAAATGATCATGAGAACGGTGATCAAAAATCCCAGAACCACACAGGGGGACCTGGTGAATGACCTGCAGAGAGCTGGGACCAAAGTAACAAAGGTTACCATCAGTAACACACTACGACGACAGGGAATCAAATCCTGCAGTGCCAGACGTGTCCCCCTGCTGAAGCTAGTGCATGTCCAGGCCCGTCTGAAGTTTGCCAGAGAGCACATGGATGATACAGCAGAGGATTGGGAGAATGTCATGAGGTCAGATGAAACCAAAGTAGAACTGTTTGGTATAAACTCAACTCGTCGTGTTTGGAGGAAGAAGAATACCGAGTTGCATCCCAAGAACACCATACCTACTGTGAAGCATGGGGGTGGAAACATCATGCTTTGGGGCTGTTTTTCTGCTAAGGGGACAGGATTACTGATTCGTGTTAAGGAAAGAATGAATGGGGCCATGTATCGTGAGATTTTGAGCCAAAACCTCCTTCCATCAGTGAGAGCTTTGAAGATGAAACGTGGCTGGTTCTTCCAACATGACAATGATCCCAAACACACCGCCCGGGCAACGAAGGAGTGGCTCCATAATAATTGATATTACTTTACAACACATTCAACACCTTACAACACATTTAGCACTTTACAACACATTCAACACCTTACAACACATTTAGCACTTTACAACACATTCAACACCTTACAACACATTTAGCACTTTACAACACATTCAACACCTTACAACACATTTTAGCACTTTACAACAAATTCAACACCTTACAACACATTTAGCACCTTACAACAAATTCAACACCTTACAACACATTTAGCACTTTACAACACATTCAACACCTTACAACACATTTAGCACTTTACAACAAATTCAACACCTTAAAACAAATTTAGCACTTTACAACAAATTCAACACCTTACAACACATTCAGCACCTTACAACAAATTCAACACCTTACAACACATTTAGCACTTTACAACACATTCAACACCTTACAACACATTTAGCACTTTACAACACATTCAACACCTTACAACAAATTCAACACCTTACAACACATTTAGCACTTTACAACACATTCAACACCTTACAACAAATTCAACACCTTACAACACATTTAGCACCTTACAACACATTCAACATCTTACAACACATTTAGCACTTTACGCAACACCTTAAAACACATTCAACACCTTAAAACAAATTCAACACCTTACAACACATTCAACACCTTACAACAAATTCAACACCTTACAACACATTTAGCACCTTACAACAAATTCAACATCTTACAACACATTTAGCACTTTACAACACATTCAACACCTTACAACACATTTAGCACTTTAACAAAAATTCAACAAATTTAGCACTTTACAACAAATTCAACACCTTACTACACATTCAGCACCTTACAACAAATTCAATACCTTACAACACATTTAGCACTTTAACACAAATTCAACACCTTACAACACATTTAGCACTTTACAACAAATTCAACACCTTTCAACACATTTAGCACTTTACAACACATGTAGCACTTTACAACACATTCAGCACTTTACAACACATTTAGCACCTTACAACAAATTCAACACCTTACAACACATTTAGCACCTTACAACAAATTCAACACCTTACAACACATTTAGCACTTTACAACACATTCAACACCTTACAACACATTTAGCACTTTACAACACATTCAACACCTTACAACACATTTAGCACTTTACAACACATTCAACACCTTACAACACATTTAGCACTTTACAACACATTCAACACCTTACAACACATTTAGCACTTTACAACAAATTCAACACCTTACAACAAATTCAACACCTTACAACACATTTAGCACTTTACAACAAATTCAACACCTTACAACACATTTAGCACTTTAACACAAATTCAACACCTTACAACACATTTAGCACTTTACAACAAATTCAACACCTTACAACACATTTAACACTTTACAACAAATTCAACACCTTACAACACATTTAGCACTTTACAACACATTCAACACCTTACAACACATTTGGCACTTTACAAAACATTCAATACCTTACAACACATTTAGCACTTTACAACAAATTCAACACCTTACAACACATTTAGCACTTTACAACACATTTAGCACTTTAATACACATTCAGCACTTTACAACACATTTAGCACTTTACAACACATTCAGCACTTTACAACACATTCAACACCTTACAACACATTTAGCACTTTACAACAGATTTAGCACCTTACAACAAATTCAACATCTTACAACACATTTAGCACTTTACAACACATTCAACACCTTACAACACATTTAGCACTTTAACAAAAAATCAACAAATTTAGCACTTTACAACAAATTCAACACCTTACTAAACATTCAGCACCTTACAACAAATTCAATACCTTACAACACATTTAGCACTTTAACACAAATTCAACACCTTACAACACATTTAGCACTTTACAACAAATTCAACACCTTTCAACACATTTAGCACCTTACAACACATGTAGCACTTTACAACACATTCAGCACTTTACAACACATTCAGCACCTTACAACAAATTCAACACCTTACAACACACCTTACAACACATTTAGCACTTTACAACACATTCAACACCTTACAACACATTTAGCACTTTACAACACATTCAACACCTTACAACACATTTAGCACTTTACAACACATTCAACACCTTACAACACATTTAGCACTTTACAACACATTCAACACCTTACAACACATTTAGCACTTTACAACACATTCAACACCTTACAACACATTTAGCACTTTACAACACATTCAACACCTTACAACACATTTAGCACTTTACAACACATTCAACACCTTACAACACATTTAGCACTTTACAACACATTCAACACCTTACAACACATTTAGCACTTTACAACACATTCAACACCTTACAACAAATTCAACACCTTACAACACATTTAACACTTTACAACAACACCAACACATTCACACTTACAACACATTTAGCACTTTACAACACATTCAACACCTTACAACACATTTAGCACTTTACAACACATTTAGCACCTTAACAACACAAATTCACACCTTACAACACATTTAGCACTTTACAACACATTTCAACACCTTACAACACATTTAGCACTTTACAACACATTCACACCTTACAACACATTTAGCACTTTACAACACATTCAACACCTTACAACACATTTAGCACTTTACAACAAATTCAACACCTTACAACACATTCAGCACCTTTACAACAAATTCAACACCTTACAACACATTTAGCACTTTACAACAAATTCAAACCTTACAACACATTCAACACCTTACAACACATTTAGCACTTTACAACACATTCAATACCACCACACATTTAGCACTTTACAACACATTTAGCACTTTACAACACATTCAGCACTTTACAACACATTTAGCACTTTACAACACATTCAGCACTTTACAACACATTTAGCACTTTACAACACATTCAGCACTTTACAACACATTTAGCACTTTACAACACATTCAGCACTTTACAACACATTTAGCACTTTACAACACATTAAGCACTTTACAACAAATGTAGCACTTTACAACACCTTACAACACATTTAGCACTTTACAACACTTTCAGCCCCTTACAACACATTCTTCTTACTTCATCTTCTTCACTTCTTCCTCTTCTTCCCCTTCTTTCTCTTCTTTCTCTTCTTCCTCTTCTTCCCCTTCTTCCTCTTCTTCCCCTTCTTCCCCCTCTTCCCCTTCTTCACCTTCTTCTTCTTCCCCTTCTTCCTCCTTCTTCCCCTTCCTCTTCCTCCCTCCTCCTTCTACCTCATCCTCTTCCTTCTTCTTCTTTCCCCTTCTTCCCTTTTCTTTCTTCTTCTTCTTCCTGCATCTTTCATTTCTTTCAACTTCTTCCTTCTTCATCCCTAACCCTTCCAACATCTATGCAGCCACTCACAATGGCTTCAGCCATTGTACCATTTCTAGTTTACCCTTGATATTTGTTTTTACCATATACTTTCTACTAAAGATTTTAAATCATATTCAAAAACAGGAATGACAGAGCAGAAAGTCTTATTGTAATATTTCTTGTTCAAGGCTGACAGCGAAAGCAGTGGCTGTTCTCCTGCCTATTCTGGGGATCTCCTGGATCTTTGGTGTTCTTGCTGTCAACACACATTCTTTAGTGTTTCTTTACATCTTTGCTATATTCAACTCATTGCAGGTAAGTAGTGACATATTACGCAGGTTAAATAACCTTCTGAACCATCTAAACCTGTATCTTAATGTTCTTAAGGGATTTTTTGTCTTCTTGTTCCACTGTCTTCTTAATTCTGAGGTATATTTTGTTTTTTTATGTTTAAAATTTTGTATTAAAAAGTAAGAGTAATTCAGTGACTTGCCATTTTACAGGTCAGAGCAGCATTCAAGCACAAAACAAAAGTGTGGTCACTAACCAGCAGTTCCATCCGCAACATAAATGTGAAGCCTTTTCACTCCGATATTGTACGTTTTCTGATTTTAACACATACTGTACTAATCATGATATCAATGCCTCTTTTTTCTTTTCTTAGATCAATGGAAATAAAGACTGCGCAATTCCCACTAAGATGAACACATGGGACAAAAGCGACAATTCAGCCAATCGCATTGATCTCTCCGCAGTATAGAATGCTCAATAGGGTTACATGATTCACAGTGGACTCTCCTTTTAAGAAGTAAAGAGAATATACTTCAGTAAATGTACAGACCAACGGACTGGATGTCATGTGACAATACAGTCAGATATGTTTCGAATATTCCATTTTGTCCATAGAGAATTTAGCATTGACAAAAACCATAATAGTTTTTGGCAAATGATTGGTTTTGCAACTTTTTGTCGATACTTAAGTGTTTCCAGTTGATCATAATTGTGTATTTATTTATTATGTGATGTGAAATCATTTCATCATTTCTTTTTGAAAATGTAAGTCCTTATGTAATTATTTTATATAAATTTATTAATATTTTGTTGTACCTCACCCAATTGAAAGCTGCATATTGTTACACCCTGTTCTTGTGGAGAAAGCAGGAGAAAGGTGACTGTGAAGTTTCTGTGGCGATTTAATTTTCCCTTTTAGTCCTATGTAAATAAATATTTTGGTACTTCCTATGACAAGCGTTGTAAGTGTCTTTCATGTACTATTTGCAATATTTTCTCTTGGCACTGTTTTCTTTACTTTCCTGCAGCCATTAAATACTTTTGACTAAAATAATGTTGATGTTTTATTTTAAAGTAGTTATTAGGCCTATCCCATGGGAGACATGTCACCCATTAGGCAGGTTTGGGAGGCTCTGGATCGCCGTATACAACATTATGTCCAATTCCTGCCAATATTCAACAACATGGTGGTCATTGAAGGAGTGAACCAACATTCATTTGATGCCACAATCAACAACCTGATCAACACTGAGAAGGAGATTTGTTGCACTGCATGATGCAATTGGTGTCACACAAAATACTGACTGGTTTTCTGACCCCCCTATATACCCCATATACATAAAACCTGTGCAGTATTCATGCTTCGAATCAGCCTCTTGATATGCCACTTCTGTGAGTTGGGGTACATTGTTTCTGCAAAGAAGTACTACTGAAACATTTTTAAACTGATTTGTGTACAATATCCAATAGACACGCCAATAAACCCTAACCCTAACTCTAAGCCAAAACTACAGGTCCTCGGCTATACAAAGACTTCAGCATTTGTTTCTTCTCCAAAACGGCTCTAGGACAGATTAAGTTTTGGTGTTGCCGATAGTTTTAGAGGAAAAAGGATCGGAGTGACAACGGGTTAAAAATAGAGCTCATGTTTTACCACGTGTCCCTGAACACACCAATAGGAACACCAATGCGCATGTGCAAGCAAACAAATTTATATTTTGGAAAGGTGAGCGGTGTCCAACGTCACTGCAGACTTTTAAAACTGTTTTTTATGTTGAGATGAGCATATATCTGCGGTAGTATACTTGCTAAATATATAAGTAAATTTATTAGAAAGCGGGTATAAGTACGCGAAAGTTGGATCCCATCAGCGACATTGTTTACACTTTTTCGACTGTTGCTGTCGAGAAACTTTTTCCAATGATTGTCGTGAGCATGTTTTCATCTGTGAGATGACATCAGAGGACATTGTACGAGTGTTGTGGGACAGTATCTTTTCCTTTTTTACAAATACAAAACGCTAAAAGTGCTGTAACACATTTTGATCTACGTGTTTGCCATGGAGTCTATTGGGAAGTTTGAGTTCAGTAGAAAAGATCTCATTGGACATGGAGCCTTTGCAGTCGTCTTTAAAGGCAGACACAAACAGGTAAGCAATGAACCGTGACATACTTAGAGACCTTGAATTGCTTCATTAGATCGTTTTTAATCTGCAGAAATGTAACTGGGAAGTTGCCATTAAATGCATTAACAAGAAAAATCTGGCCAAGTCTCAGTCAGTGCTTGGTAAAGAGATCAAAATATTAAAGGTATTGTATTTCCCTTTTATTAAAGATTTGTGTTTGTTTTATATACATTATAAAGTATTTTCCCCTTCTTGTTTTTTTTCATCAGGAACTAAGACATGACAATATAGTTCGTCTACTTGAATATCAGGTAAGGCCCATGTGTTTCCTTGTGCAGATATTTTTTGTTATCAAATTGAATTAGCCACAAAAGTGTAGGGGTAGTCAGCATGTCTCCTTTCTGGCAGCTGCCAAACATGCAGACAGGTGTGAGCTGATACTGCACGTTGCAGACAGGTGACAGCTTGCAGACGACCAAACAACAGCTCATAAAGCACTGAATTTAACACCGGCACTAAAGTGACCCCTGAAGGAGACTGCGTTTGTCTGCTCAGTATCATTGGGCAGCAGTTAAATGACTGAAAAGTTGGTGTTGTGAATAAACATACTGTGGCGAAACTGCCTGTTCAATTTACGTATAGAATGTAATTTGTTGCTTAATAGTCTGGTAATTTTTCAGTGGGACGTGGTGAACTGGTAAATTTAGTACGGGTCATAAAGGACAGACTGGAGTTGGGTTTCAGATCCTAGAAAAACCCTTGCCACTGAGAATCACTAGAAGAGCTGTCAGTAATAATATGTTACCAAGTGAAACTTACTTCAATATAAAGTAAAGATTGACAAATTATCCAATAGTATATGCACAATATGATATTAGTAATTAGTAGTAATTAGTAATATCTTTATTACTTTAGATAAAACTTTATGAGCCCATGATGTACTCTAAATAGCCGAATTGATACATTCTGTACAGCAACCTGGCTTCCTACAGACATGAACCTATATTTATTAACTCTCGTTTTCTCTTTGTAGTTTTGTTCTATCTCTTATAAAGTTTCAGGTGCTCCACCTTCTGTTTCACTTCTAATTCATGAAAAAACTGGCCCCTAAAGTTAAACTGACGTTAGAATAACTCAACTAAATAAACACACAAAAGGTCTTTTTATAAATGTTCTATTTTAATTCATTTTTTGCCTTAATAGGAGATTGGTGGTTGTGTGTATCTAGTTATGGAGGTGAGTTATAAGTCATAAAATAAAAATATCTCACAGCTATGAGTTAATTATTAAAATATTTGGCTCTCTATATTTCCTTTTTCAAAGTACTGTAATGGAGGAGACTTGGCTGAGTATCTCCAGTGTAAGTAAACCATAAGTACACACTAGCCACACATTTCTGAACTGTTTGAAAACATATTCCTTCTCCATTGAATAAGATAACAGTATTGGTAGTACTGGTATTCACAATATTCACTTCACCTTCATTATAATTATTTTTTTTATTATTGTTTTTTTCTAAACCCAATCATCACTTTGTAAAAAATAATCAGATCTTTTTCACAGAAATCCTCAAACCTATCTCAAGCCTTATGGTATTTATTGACATGCTAAATTTGTTTTGTTGATGTCACTGCGCCTCATTTGTATTTTCCTCATACGTTGCCAGCTCCCGTCACTCCATCGTGTTTCATAACTTGTGCCGTGTCCAGGAAGCAACACAACACTTGTCACACTTAGTGAAGTCCAAAGCACCTGCATGGTGTTACACAACTGCTCCCTCCAAGTTGGCATAGCAAGATACAACATTTGGCGTCATAGACTATATTTTTCACACGATATACAGCACTTTCTCTTAATGTTGGGAAACTAGAGTGTAATTGACTTCTTTTGCCATGTAGCCAGGGGCACCCTGAGTGAAGACACTATTCGCACTTTTCTTCAGCAAATCGTTCAAGCCATGAAAGTCCTTCAGGGCCAAGGCATTCTGCACAGAGACCTCAAACCTCAAAACATCTTGTTGAGTCATGGTGAAGGGAGAAGAGCAAGTTCTCTCAACGTGTGCCTCAAAATAGGTACAAAATAGAAAATAAATCTGCCTTTCTACACTGTACCTTAGAGACTGTTGATGATTTTAAGTCCCAACTTAAGTCCTATTTATTTAGACAGGCTTTCTCGCCTCACTGCTCGTAGGCCTCTGTGAACTGTGTTTTTCTGTGTCTTTGTTTTTAAATCTGACTTGTATGTGTATTTTATGTGTTTTATGTGTTTGTTAAGCGCTTTGTGATCCTGGTCTGTGAAATGCGCTATACAAATAAACTTTACTTACTTACTTAACTTCTTCACTGATTTGTGTAACTTGCAGCTGACTTTGGGTTTGCTAGGCATCTCCAGACAAATGCCATGGCTGCCACGTTGTGCGGCTCTCCTATGTACATGGTAAATATGTTTATCTTTAGGTTCTTTTGAGGATAGTAGGCCTGGCGATATGACAACAAGGTTTTATTCGAAGACCACTGGTTCACAAAAGCTCATCACTAGGGATGGCCAATATTAAAAAGACAATATTGTGCTGTGATGTATCTGTGCTATCCAAATTAACTTGCCAAAAGTATTGTACAGACTTAAAAAATTTGAATATATTCCAAGTTCTGCATTATTTGGAAATGTGCAGTTCTTGTGGACTGCCCTTAACATATGTACACTCCCATTGCACGAGTGTAAAAAGCAGAGGAATGAGCATTATGTGTTGAATCAGTTGCGTATTTTTCTGTAACTCCGAGGGCAGAGAACAAGAAATTAAAGAACTAGCACAATTTCCTGAACTTTATTTCACAATTTAACAATGTTGATATTTTTAATGCTTGTTAACAACTTTGTTTGTATGCAGGCCCCTGAAGTCATCATGTCCCAGAACTATGATGCAAAAGCAGATCTCTGGAGTATTGGGACCATCATTTATCAGTGTCTTACAGGAAAGGCCCCATTTTATGTGAGTTTCAAACAAGATACAAATATAACACCAGACAAGCTTCTACTAAGATGAAAAGACAATTAAACTAGAGAAAACTCTTTGGTAAGCCAGAACATGTCTCTTAAATTGGTTTTGTCTCATGTCATACTGAGACGGAGCCTTTTATAGACACACTTGTTTCCCCATCAACATTTCTCAGGAGCACAATGTTGTGTAACTACCGGATCACTATCTGCTGTTCACTTACTTCCCCCATCACACACAATATTCCTAGAGATGTTCTGCTGGTATTTCTTTGAACACTCCCCACTCTAAAGCTGAGCTGATCTCCTTCTGACCAGGCTAATTTCTTTTTATTCCGTGTTGACAGCTGCAGAAGAGCCAAAAATATTATGTTGATCTGACCCTTGCATCAAATGATGTTATATATGAGACTATTTCCGTGAATGTCTATTCCCTGAAAAAGAAAGCAAAGATTTTTTTCTTTTGATGTGATTCTGAAAAGCAAAAATGTTGGAAAGAATGTTTACAAAAACCTATTCCACAGATGGAACATGTTCTGCATGTTATGAACAAATGATACTGATCTGTACTTGTGTTTTTAGGCCAGCACACCACAGGAGCTCCGTCTTTTTTATGAAACCAACCGGACACTCTTGCCCAGGTTGGTGCAATGGTAACATTCGATGCTACACAGTCGGATGTTTGTATTACAAGTAGTATACGTGTGTAAATAGAATCTTCTCAGTTTTCTGATGTTTTGCAATGAACTCACTGACACAAGTAAACAGCAGGTATTAGCTTTGTACTTGATCACGTGTCAAACATGCACACACATGCCAAGGTTTACAGTTAGGTGTAAATAAATAAGCTGCATAAATGTACTTTACTAAGAGAAGATATGTTATCCCACTGGCCTGACCTGCCATAAAATCTATTTAAAAAAATTCTATTCAAACTCACGATACCGGTTAAAAAAAGGTTCAGTTGAATATGATTTAATGCATGATGCTTAGTTGATTATTGACTTGTATATTCACACTTAAACTTTTTTATATGCCAATAGTTCTTCTTAAAACACCAGTCCTATGATGTTTAAAATGGACCTGGCTGGAGTTCAAAGCACAGAAGCACAGATTGTTTGATGTTGTATTGAAGCTCTCTGCACTTACTGCTCCGGCCAGGACTTATCTTTGGAAGTGATAAAGTCTGTTTTATTCTCCTGTTGTCCATGTGCGACCTCCCTAGACCGTTGTTTCCTAATCATTTCTATAAATATCGCTTGTGGACTGCCTGGTAGGGGTCAGCGCGGCTATCATTTTCCACATGGCCCACATAACTAGTCCACTCAGACATAAACATGCATGAATTGTTGCAAATACTTTTGTGATGTTGCCATAATTGTTGATACCAAATTCTAGATAGGTCCATCCATCCATTTTCTTCCCCTTAACCATTTCTGAGTCGGGGGGTTGGCAGTCAGAGCTGCACCCAGTACACATAGCACTAGCTAAAAATTAATAAATTATGAATGTAATTTTTTCCTAGCATACCAAAACTGACCTCCAGTAACTTAAGACATCTATTGTTGGGACTGTTGCAAAGAAACCCTAAAGACCGGATGACTTTTGGTAAGTTCTGAGTCCTGACTGAAGAGTCCTGTTGACCAGGTCTTTCGCAATAAAATTCTTAACTTTTACAGAGGAGTTATTTCACCATCCTTTCATAAATGTGGACTCGACAGCAAAAAAATGTAGGTGGAGATTACTATGATTATTATACCATATTTATTTTTACATCAATCAATTTCAGAGATTCCTTTCTCAGCAGGTGCAATGACTACAGTGCTACACCCAAGCAGTGGCTCTTCTAGTTGTGGTTCTTCTCATCCTGCTCACTCTCCAGTTAGTTTCGAACACATTTTTTCTTACGGTAAATATGTTGGATTTACAAAAATGTCTTGAATCAAAATTAGCAGGTCCCTTTAGGATTTCCATTGACACAGGAAGTGGAAGATCTTCAAAATAATTCATTCTTCCCAGATGAATATGTTTTGGTGCCTACCCAATCTCCCAGTAAGACAATCAATCATTTGTTTTTGTCTTATGCAGGTGAATAGGTGAAACTCAGAGAATTAGAAGTTAAAAGTCCATTTACTTAATATACATGTGTGTATATATGTTTATTTATTATAATTCACACAATGTAAAACTTGTACATGACAGACTCATCATATGCAAAGTAAGATACGACTCACTCCACACTAAACTGTACAATGAATCTTCAAGCCGCAAAAAAATTAATGTATGATCCAAAAATGTTTTTAAAATGCTAATAATAATTTAATACTATGTAGCTTATAGATATACATAGTATAATCTCGGATGGCAGCTCAAAACCATCTAAAGAAAAATGGATCCCTTTCAATAATAATGGGACATAAGTGTTACATATAGGACATGTCATGTTGGAGGCTTTGTGAATGGCATGATTAACAGGACAGGGAAGACTATTTAATGCTTAATGGTTGGAAATATAACTATAATCAATCTATAATTATAGATTATACATTATGTAAACAAATATTAGAAAATTACTGCAGACAAAAGTTTTGGACCTAACACTGCATCTGTCTTGAGTGTTATTAATAGTACGGGCGTGAACGAATCGATGTTTAAGTATTTCCCCTTTCGCTGGACAAACAAGCTGGAACAAAACAAGAGTGGGTCTGAACATTTGGCAGTAACGACCCAAATGTAAGACATTGATACAGTTCAGTGTGGACTGAGCCATATATCAAGCCTTTATTTGTTGTAATGTTGATAATTGGCTCACAGCTGTAAATAAAATAAACAAATAAATAAAAGAAAAAGAAAATTTACTATAAACTATAATCACCAAAATTATAATTACCAAATGTGTGACATATGTCACATTCCATGTAAAGAGTCCATATTATATAACGGTTTCACATTTTAAGTTACAGAAATAAAAGACATTTTGAACAACATCCTCATATTCTGAGTTTCAGCTGTATTCCTGTTTAGTTACTCAGGACCCTCCATGCATATATGTATGTGAAATGTTCAGTTGTAACCAAATAATTATGATGTAAAAATAATTAGGTGAATACACCAGTGATGTGGAATCTGAGTCTCCTATTGCAAGTTGTCTGATTAACAGTGGGTGAGTATCACATGTGTGGTTTACAACAAAAACTGATGGATATTTAATTAATTTAGACTCATGTTTTTACAGAGGCTCTCTAACGTTGCAAATCAATAAAACTGTAGTTGAAGGGACAACACCACCCTTTTCTCTATTTCCCCATTCTTGTTCATCTGAGAGGTAAGAAACTTCTACCAACAGCAGCTGCTATCAGGTTTTTACACTTTTGAGCCAATCATGTTTTCATTTTACTAGCAAACCTTTGACGGCCACTCCTCGCATCCGCTCCTTGCCCATTCCAGTGCCCTCTCAGATCCACAATTATCGGCGAATTGAACACAACCTGCAGCCAGCAGGTTTGCATGGCTCTACCAGGCATGTATTGTCAAATTTACAACTGCGCTTCCAGCTGATTTTGTTATGGGGATACTCACTTTGCTCTCACCTCATTATTAGAGTCAAGCTTTGTTGTGCTAAAAACAGCAGTCTGCCTTCAGAACTTTCCAACGAAGGGGCAAGGCCACAACACTCTTCTCCTGAAGGCGTGTTAAACCTAAAAGTGTACACTTACTCTGATGTGCTATTTTATCTTTTTGCTTCCAGTTGTAAACATGTTCTATTTAAATTCTAGTTGGAATTATACCACAAGTCATTGAGCCATCGTTTCCGCTCGGCACCAAGACTTCAATGCTCACTGATATGAAGGTAAGGTGTCTACAGAAGATTTGTGTTTTAAAAATTATACAATTTGTTTTTGAAAATGTTGTTTTACGTTTATACACAATTCTGTCCTTAATCAGGGCTCTAGCGGGTTGCACAAAAGGAGAAGAACCTTTGGGGACTTGCCATATGTTCCCTTTAATAACAGTGGAGAGCGTATTAAAAGGTCGGGATGAATAGGACTGATGTATGTATAATATTGACCATGAAATTACTATAAGATATCGACTTTAACACTTACAGAACAATGAGCACTGGCAGACTGTCTGACATGCTTCTGAGAGCAGCTTATGAAGCTACTCTTATGGAGGGGAGTTCACAGGAGAGCCCTTGTGAGGCTGACATGGGTAAGACAAGAAAAGGCAACCACCAATAATAATACTATAAGAAGTTTGTGGTTGCATGATTTTTTTTTTTGTATTTTGTTTTAGATGGATCTCCAGTAAATGTCTTCACAGTTGAGTCACCAAGACGAGCAAGTGTTCCTAGCACAAGGCTGCTACCTGGTATGTTCACTTCCTTTCATTATGTTATAAATCCTTTGTCTTTTTTCCTTTGTTTTAAATGCACAGCTGTTTATGATGATTGCTTTATCTGCAGACTCTCCCACTTATAAGAACTCTCCCTGGCTCACTAGTCGTCCTCTTCAGAGAGGAGCTTGTAGAAATTGTGATACTGAAGCTTGGGACGAAAGTCCATTGACCAATGTGATGTTTCATCCTCCTCTGCTTCCTGAAGACACACTGATGGAGGTATGGAATCAGAATGAATCATTCAAATATGTTACTTGTTATAATAAGACTATGCAAATGTGAATTTTTTTGATTTTTCACAGCAATCCCATACAGATTCCTTGAATAATCTGCGCTTCACTTTGGCTTTTGTTCACTGCATTATGGAGTTGGCTGCATCAAAGGATCCAAGCCTGAATACAACCAGCACTCCTGATGTTTCCTTTTTAGACGAGAGCATGGTGACTGATCAAATTAGCCTTCTCAGTCGCGAGTGGAGGTTAATTAATCTGATGGAAATAAACACTTTTTTCCACGTTGTACTTTTTATATAATCTTAGTAATGTATTTTGACATGTGTTTTGCAGTTATGCCAGTCAATTAGTGTTGTACATGAAGGCTGAGGATTTTCTTTCATCTGCTTTGCACGCTGCCAAAGAGGATATTAAACAAGGCCAACTCCTTCCCTCTGTAACTGTAAAGCAAGGTAAATCTCAAGGCAATTTTATAGATCTGTTTTCATTTAAATATATGTGTTATGGCTTTTTTTCTAGTAATTCGGAGACTTAATGAAATGTACAAAAGCTGTGTGTCCTACTGTCGCTCTCTGAATGATCAACTACAAAACTTCCTCCTTGACAAACAGAAACTCATTGATCGTTTCAATGGACTAACAGCAGAGAAGCTCATTTATAGCCACTCTGTGAACATGGTGAGATCCATCTATAGAAAACCGTCATGTGCAGCAACATTTTGATAGACTTGTTTTAACCTTGTGTGTGATATGCTTAGGTGCAGTCTGCTGCCCTTGATGAAATGTTTCATTATGGACTGGCTTCAGAGCAGAGATACCACAAGGCACTTATTCTTATGGAGGGCCTATCTAGGGTCCTCACAGAAAAAAATGATATTGACAGTGTGGAGAAATGTATGTATTACCTTTGTTGCCATAATATCTAAGTGGATATTTTCATTAAGATTGTATTGTTATTTTTATTTTTTTAATAACAGGTAAGCAGTGTATTGAGCGGCGCCTGACAGCACTTCACATCTTCTAATAGTTTATTTGTTTGCCCGGAAATACTTGTCTTTTGCTAATACAAGCACTTTATGATATCACAAGATCTGAACACATCTATTTAATTTCCCTTTTTATGGTTTGTGATTCTGCAAAACATACTTGAATTCAATTTTTGTAATTGTTTAAAAGTACAAATTACGATTATGTAAAAACCATAGACTGTATATATTAAAAAACCTGGAAAATGATTCTATATGATGCTTTTCATTTTGCACATGCATTCAACAGAGAATTGTAATTTACTTGAAACTACAATGTTTAATGAACGGTATTTATTTTTTAATTGAAGTTAGCTCTTGAGATGTGGTGATGTTGTAAAAATAAATATTTAGCCTTGTTTTTGTCTGTTTGTTTATTGTTTCACGGTGTATGTTATGAGCGTTATTATAATAGATCCATGGTTATGAGTGCTAAATATTCAGGCAACTGTGTAATTACACTCTAATCTCAATCTTAACTGTAAAAGAAGATTTAAAAAGCATTATTCAGATTAAAGTACGTTATTATAAATAATCCTCAAAGAAAATAAGCACGGACCATACGGACCTTCTATGGGACGGACCACCTTAACGCAGAACTGCTTCCGGGGTGCACGAGAGGTTGTTGCAGTCGCCATGTTGCTGAATGAAATTAGCTCCAAAACATTAGGTTAGCCGCTAGCAATATCATTATTTTATTTATCCACAAAATGACGCTTGTTGCATCAAATACTCGTGTGTAAATATGACTTGGAACATAACAAAATACTAGCAAACCCGCTCCTCTGTAAGTACTATTGCTCTGTGTTTTCATATTGTCTTTATTATCCGTTAGCAAAAAACATGCTAACACCCAGAGCTAGTGTTAGCACGCGCCGAGACTCGGGTTATTGTTTCTCAAATAAGCGAAACCAGGCGTTTGTGGTGACTTGTGATAATATTTACAACAGTATACTATTTAACTTAACTCTGTGGAGTGGGTTGGCACACAGACCTACGGCTTATTTTATATGTACATGATTCATTTGCTGTGGAGCGGAGCGAGCTGGTGTTACTCTCTGGATGTTTTAACGTTACAGGATGCTGGGACATCTTATTTATATTGACGTTGTCGCTCTTAGGAACACAGTGCAGAATTGTTTTAAATTAATTAATGCCATTACTCAACCAAATGTTCAGTGTTTATTACGCAGATGACATGTGGATACAACATTCATAATTGATCTGCCGTAAATTGTCTTTGTCCAAAGTAAACGGACTTCTTATGAATAACATCAGGAAATCGGTTCGAATGCTACTTTTCGGCATTATAACTGATTCAAGTAGCTTTACCTTTAACGATATGTCATTAGATCGAAACAGTCAATTTAATACGTAACGTGTTATTAGGGTAATGTGTTGGTTTTGCACTGCGCGCCACCTAATATAAAATGTATTTCTTTTTCAGTTGTGAATCTGTACAGCATCAAGCAATGCACCATGGAAGTGGATCACAGAATATTCAACGACAACTTCAGAGATCAAAGTCAGCCAGCGGGTCAGAGGCTGAGGAAGTTCCGCAGCAGCAACCTGCCCTGTCTGCCACACAACAGCAGGCTACAGCGAACCACCCACAGTCCCCTGTAACCACGTTTACCTCAGCTGCCAGCCCCTCAGCACCACAATCGCCCAATTATCAGATAATCATGAGCCGAAGCCCAGTTACTGGCCAGAACATGAACATCACTTTACAAAATGTGGGACAGATGGTAACTGGAAATCAACAAATTACTTTGACTCCTGTGCCCCTTCAAAACCCTGCATCCCCTGGTTTTCAGCACACTACTCCACAGTGGAGATTTGAGGCTGCTCCATCCTCTTACATCCAGGTCACTTCACCTGTGCCTCAGCCCATTCCCCCACAAAGTCCTACCCAGCATAGTCCAGTCACCACAGTGGCTCGCCCAGGAGGTCCTGCTACAGCATTAACTGTGTGTACGCAAAGCCCCACTCGCTTTGTTGATGCTAGTGTGCTTGTGCGACAGATCAATTTAGGCAGCCCCACTGGAGGTAGTCACTTTGTTTATCAGGATGGGACTGGGCTTGCTCAGATGACACCAGCCACAGCGGCTCAAGTGCAGTTGGCCACAGTTGCTACACCTGGTTCTGTGAGGGAACGTCGTCTTTCTCAACCACATTCACAGACAGGAGGTACCATTCACCATCTTGGACCTCAAAGTCCAGCGGCAACAGGGGGTTCTCTCGCCACTTTGGGCAGCCCCGGTCATATTACCACTTCTAATCTACCTCCACAAATCAGCAATATCATTCAAGGACAGTTAGCTCGCCCCATGATATTTGAGAAGACCCCACAAGGGATTGTTGCTGGTGTAGGTTCCTCCGTAACTCCATCTTTCAATATGCCCACTTCTGTTCCACAACAAAGCCCTACTTTGACCAGTCCACTACAAAATAACCCCAATCATCCTTTGGGGTCCAGCAGCATGACTGTGGGTGCCATGAAAAAGCAGGCTTCTAAGAAATTGGAGGAGATTGCTCCCTCTACCCCCGAAATTGCTCAGTTGAGAAGGCAGTGCTTGGAGCATCATACTAAGAAGATGGAGACTCTGAAGGATGTGTTCAAAGAATATCTGATTGAGTTATTCTTTCTCCAGCATTTGCAGGGAAATATGATGGACTATTTAGCCTTCAAGAAAAAACCTTGTGTTCCCCTGTATACATACTTGAGACAGAATGACTTGGACATTGAGGATGAGGAGGAAGATGAAGAACAGTCTGAAGTCATAAATGATGAGGTATTTGTTTTTTTATTTTAGCCAGTTTGTGTGTGCAAGTGTTCTACTTGCACACTCTACTTGTTTTGTTTCAGGTGAAGGTCGTGACTGGAAAGGATGGCCAAGCTGTGACACCTGTTGCCATAGCAACACAGCTTCCACCCAATGTTTCTGCAGCTTTCTCTTCCCCCCAGCAGTTCCAGGTTATTAAGATGTTTTGTAAAAAAAAAAGACAAGAAAAAAAAAGGCAGCAATAAGTTTTCTACAATTTTATCATTTGTGCATTTAAACAATTATTGTGTTCAGGGAGGTGCTGTTGGGGGCATTGCTAGTGCTGGAGACATGGAAGCTTTTAAGAGGCAGCAAGCGATGGTGCAAGCAGGTAGGGCAAGGGCAGCTCACTACTGTGTCTCTATTTGCTCTGTTTCCTCCCCGTTTGCTTTTTTTGTTTCTTTTTCCCTCCCTCTAATTGCTTCTGCTTTTAGAAATTTGGCATCATGTACTAGCGTTCAATGTTCAAGTCTTAACCGGAGGAAGGAGAGGTGACCTATTTGGTCTTGAGCCGGTCATTGCCTTATGACTAGTGCTGTTTCCGTTTTGAGGGTATTGTGTCTTTTAAATCCCAGATCAGGCTAAGAGGTCCCGGATTGACGTTGGTCGCCATGGGTTGATTTTCCAGCATCCTTTAGGATCACCTGGCGTTCCACTCCAGCAGCTTATGCCAACTGCGCAAGGTAGGAGTGCTACAACCAGGCCCTTCTTTGTTCTGCCTGATGCTGCTGGATATATGCCCTCGGAATTCTCAGAAAATATATTGAATGACCGTGTCCTCTTCTACAAACAAATCCCACCAGCACCAACAAGCCCAGCAACAGCTTGAAGTCCTCATCAGTTCAAATTAAGACTTAGTTTTACCAACAGACCAAATTGGGATGAAGACAATTCAAGTCTGAAGAAGAGTAGCCTCTCAATGGGAAGATGCCATGTCTTGTGATTTAAATTTTTGTTACCTTTTTTGTTTTTTTGTTTTTTTCTGGATCATCAGTGTAACCCATTTCTTCTATCTAATGTCTGCTTTGTAGTCTTTGGATAGACTTTTCATACCACTGGACTTTCATCTTTTTGTGGAGCTGGAACATGGAACATTTTGAAAGCTTTTATGGAAAAAATTAACTCTGAATTGGTTAAACCTTTTTCCATTTCATGGAATTATACCGCACATTGCCATTTCCTTTAGGTTTTACGTTCTCGTCCATTCATTCATTGATCATATCGTATTCTGAATTGTATTTTGTTATATAGTCAAGGATTCCAAGCCCTCATTATTGTTTCGGCCTCGTTTTTCATCCTGTGGGCTTGTTTATGGTCATATTTGGTTCTTCTTCCATGTTTATGGCATTTTGTTCTGACTTGGCTTCTTTCCCTCAGTCTAAGTAGGCGGGGAAACATGTGGAGGAGTTGTTCACGGCTCAGGGTTTTGGATTGTGGTGGTTGGGTGAGTCAGGGTTGTGTTGAAGGCGTCTAGGCCAGGTGACGTTCAGGGAGGTAAGGCAGGCGCTGCTTTAGTGTGCACAGCTCCGCTCAGGCCTGCTGTCTGCAAGACCCCATGTGTGTCTATGCTCACTTCTGTGCTCTGTGGCTCTGTGAGGCATTTACATTTCTTTTTATATCGCTATATTCCTTCATGCATGCTGATCATAGGATCTTTTAATGTGTGCTTTGTTTGTCATTTAATTTCCCTTTATTCTCCCTGTTTGTTATGTGTGTCATTTTCCTAAATCATGAATTTCCTCCTTTAATAACCTTTCCTATTGCATGGTTAGTTTTTGATGTTGAATTACATTTCTCAACATTTAAAATAAAATATTTTGTTTGACTGCATTAATCAAAGTAGTATTTTATTTGAGAAAATGTTTAGATGCTCATATTTGATTTCTTCTGTAATCATTGCTGTATGAGTTCTATTAATTTTTGCTCGGATCATCAGAAACTAGTATTTTTGCTGTTTTATTCATATAGTATTCATATCTAATTCATTAAACAACATCCTGAGGAGCTCTGATAAACAATCAACATTATATTCATATCTCCAGCTATTTTAATCTAAAATTATAAATAGGGGTTAGTTTGAAATATAACCATGTTAGATCATGTGCACATAATCACAGCAAAAGTGTATAAAAATACTGATGACTGATAATTTCTTTTTGTGTTGCTCTCTTTACTCCTATTCTATCCTATCATTTTATTACGTATATATAGGAGGGATGCCTCCTATTCCTCAAGCAGTACAGATTGCAGGGCAGAAGCAGAATCAGCAGCAGTATGACCCATCCAAAGGACCTCCAGTGCAAAATGCTGCAAGTTTGCATACCCCTCCGCCTCAGCTACCTGGCAGGTTACCCCAGGGGACTCTCCCTATGGCGAGCTTGCCTTTGACCATCTCCCAGCAGGCTCAGTTGATCGATGGGACTGGTCAAGCTGGAGCTCAGCTCCAGGCTCAAGTGAAGGTGGCCAGTGGAGCGATGATGGCACAGATGAATCCACATGCTCAACTGCAAGCCCAACTCCAGCAGCAAATGCATCTCCAGATGCAGCCTGGTCAACAACCTCCAGCAACGATACAAACGGGACAAGCAGTAAGTAAATCAACAAATTATAAATTTAAACCGCCAATGTTGAGGTTTGTCTGTCTTACTTATTTAACATCCTTTCCTTTAGACTGTGGCTCTGGCTCGCCCTGCTATGGAACCAAATCAAGTCCAGAGGATTATGGCCAACTCGATGTCCAATGTGTCTTCTGCTTCTCTGTCAAACTCTGTATCTGCTGCTCATAATGCAGTTACTACACGACCCTGCTCAGGCACAAACCCAAGCTCCCAGTCCAAACTCACCGGTACCAACGGCATTTCCTCCGTCAAATCGGGCGGTTTTTGCCAAAGTGGTTCTATGCAGACAACACAAGATGGTTCTCAAGACAAGCAAATTGAGCAGGCGAAACTTGTAAGCAGCCATAACACTTGTGTACCATAAGGAGCAGTAGACTAACAATGTGCAACTTTCATCTTCCAGGAGAGTCAAGTACATCTGCGCATCTCGGAACTGAGGAAGGATGGACAGTGGTCATCGAGTAGGCTTCCTAAACTTATGGAGGCCTCACGACCAAAGTCTCACTGGGACTATCTTTTAGAGGAAATGCAGTGGATGGCTGCAGATTTTGCACAGGAAAGAAGATGGAAAGAAGCTGCAGCAAAAAAAGTAAGGTGTCCGACAACAAAGAAAAATGGGCACAGCACCAAGCACTAATAATGTTTTTTTTATTTATTATTATCAACAGCTTGTCCGCACTTGTGCTCGGTATCATCAGGAGCAAAAGAAAAGCGAAGAACGATCAAAGACTGATCAAGAAATTCACCTTCGACACATTGCCAGTACAATTGCCAGAGAGGTGGAATTTTTCTGGTCCAACATTGAACAAGTGAGTTTAAAATCTAAATTGTATCAATGCATTTGATATAACTAAAATATTATTATTTGATGTTGATGCAGGTTGTAGAAATTAAACTCCAATTTCAAATGTATGACAAAAGGCTTAAAACATTTCAAAATATGTCAACAAAAGGTGTGTACATTTCTTTATATTATACTAAAACATTCAAACATGTACCTAATTGAATATGAATACAATTTTAGTGTCTGTTCAACCATCAGAAGATAAGGTTGATAAAGAGGTAGGTTGATGGAGGTTAGCAGCACATTTCTAATAATGTAAAGAAAATTGTAACGTTCCTATCCATTTGAATTCCTTAAAGGAAGTTGTCTCTTTACGGCGAAAAAGAAAATCAAGTTCATCTGTAACAGATGAGGACGGTAGGGAAAATAATAAATGTATATATTTAATTCTTTCTAATTCATAAATGTATATTTTTAGTTGATGAGGAGAGCACCATAGATGAGCAAGAGTTTATGGAGGAAAATGCAGACCACCAAAATGAGCTGGGGGAACTGGCCAAAGAAGGTATTTTTTTTTCAAGTCTATTAACATTTCCATTAATTTGCTAAACATATTTTTCAACTACCTCCTTTGTAAAATGTTTTCAGCGGAGATGCCTTTAGATGCTTTGATGAAGCAGTATGCTGGTGCATATGTTGATGGCTTTGATTGGCCAAAACCAAGTTCACAAAAAGATGATGAGGACACAGATCCTGATGGTGTGTTTCTTTTCACCAAAGAATTCAAAAAAAATCTAAATTCCAAACTGTGTCATTGTCTCTGAAAAATAACGTTTGGAATTGTGTAACTGCCCTTTTTGTTCTCATTGTTTTGTAATTTTTTCTGTAGAAGATGGAAGTCCACCAGAGGCTGTGGTTATTGACTCCTTGCTGAGTGTGGATCAGTATAAAGGCAGTGATAAAGCCAGCTCCTCAAGCTCTGATGGAAAGTCTGCCAAAGACATTGCTGAAGTAGCAGCTGCGACAGAATTGCTGCTTCCCAAAGGCAGTTTTAGGACTACGACTTCTGTAAGACTTGACATTTTTAAAATGTGTTCATTTAGATCACATAATATAATAATATATAATAATTTCTGCATGTATTTTTTTACATTAGACTCGCAGCCCAGCTCCTGTTCTATTACATGGATCTTTGCGAGAATATCAGCAAATTGGTGTTGATTGGCTGGTCAGTCTATTCAAAAAACGGCTCAATGGCATCCTGGCTGATGAGACTGGCCTTGGCAAAACAGTGCAAACTGTTGCCTACATGGCACAGTTGGCTGCTCAGGAAGGTACAAAGAAGTTCTTGGTTGGACGATTTTTATGTAAAATAATCATATTTAAGCTTTAAAATTTTGTAAATTCTTAGGCATATGGGGTCCTCATCTTGTTGTGGTAAGAACAAGCAAGTTACTAAGTTGGGAGGTAGAGTTCAAACGGTGGTGTCCGGGGCTCAAGATCCTCCTTTACCTTGGCAACCGATCAGAGCGCAGATCTTTGAGAAAGGTATATTATTTACACAGTTAAACTCCAAAGTTAGGACATTCCACAGTTGTCTTATTGGTCTTCTGTGTACAGTGGTGGGGGGAAGCGAACAGTTTCCACGTCTGTGTGACATCATACAAGCTTCTCATGACTGACCACAGTCACTTTCTGAGAAGAAAATGGAAACATGTTGTTTTTGATGAGATTCAACTGATTAAAGATATGACTCAGAAACATTGGGAAACAATATTCTCCATCAAAAGGTGACCCTACTGGAATTTATTTTTATTTTTTTATAATTACTTGTACAGCTTTGTGAATATGTTATGGTCTTTCAAAACAGTGATCAAAGGATTCTCCTCATCAACACTCCTCTACAAAATACATTGAAAGAACTTTGGACCATGATTCATTTTCTTTTGCCTGGAATCACACGACGCTACTCGGACTTCCCTGTGAAGGCAGGCACAGACCAAAACCAAGACTACTGCCACAAACTGGTTATCCGTTTACACAGGGTGGGTTTAGCTGTCAGTATTTGAATAGGAATTTTGTACCACTTAAGTCTAACCTTTTTCTTTCAAATTAAGATGATACAGCCGTTCATTCTGAGGCGGTCTAAAAGGGAAGTGGAAAAACAGCTACCGAAGAAATATGAACATATTCTGAAGTGCCGCCTCTCCAGCCGACAGAAGAGCCTGTATGAGGACATCCTCACTCAGACAGGGTAACTTCAGTATTTTTTACAGCCAGAATTTTAATATGACTTGGTTTACTTTTTTTGTCTTCATGCAAACATTTGACATGCTTTACTTTCTTGATTAGGACCCAGGAAGCTCTCAAGACGGGACACTTTGTTAGTGTGCTTCAGGTGTTGATGCGGTTACAGCGAGTATGTAACCACCCAGAGTTGGCGTCTCCCAGAGATGCCAAGAGTTCCTTTTTCTTCTCAAATCTGCAATTCAATGTCCCGTCATTGGTTCTGGGAGCATTACAGAAAGATCAAGATGCGGTAAACATAAGGACTTGTCTTTATTAAAATATGAATACATTGTGTTTTTTGACCCTTTGTGTACATTTTAGACTGCAGACATATCCATCTTTAATTTAATCAACAATGAGAACAAACTTACCCATTATCAAACTGCGGAGGCAATACCTAAGCTAAAACTCTCAAAGCCACTTATAGAGGAACTCTACACTGGCCCCGACCAACCTCCACGACCTAAACCCTGTCCCATAAAACCAATGAGGTCAGTTGTTATTTTCTAACGCTGCACTACACTTTACTATATTGAATGCCTAGTTCCTAACGACTTTTACTTTTTGGTGCTCAGATTGTTTCAGCCAGTCTCATATGGGACAAAGCCAGAGGGGCGCCTCGCTTCTTTTACGAGTACATCCAGCCAACGTCCAGCATTGAATCCTTCGGGCACTTCTATCGCTCCCCCTATGGCAAACACTGCTACACAACCCAGGGGGAAATCCCCTGTCACCACTGGAGCAACTGCCCCTACCTCGCATGGTAAGTTTTCAGGAGATGCAGAGGTGAACACCTGTCTTGTTCTATGAGTCCTAATGCCTGAATCCCAGATTGTGTGTCCATCATTCGTGGAATATGGACTAAATGTTCTTGAATGAGTGATACTATTTATGTATATTCATTCTTAACTGAATATAACAACTGATAATAACTACAAAGCTTGCAGGGCTTGAGATGAATTCATAACTAATGCATTTTTTACTAATTTATATTCTTTTAATATTTTATAATTCAACATCAAAGATTAATGTTGCACACTCAAGATATTCATTTGTCATTATTGCCTTTTTATATATATATACTAACGTGTATTACATACAGTGCCGGTACTCATACACCTATAACATATAGGTAACAGACAACTGTGAACTGAAAGCAAATTGATGCATGATTCTGTTACCATTTTTAAAATAGAAAATTAGGGCATGTAGTATTCATACAGATTTTTTCTGGGTGCATTAAATTGCGTTGAACTCTTTAATGGTTTGCTCAACCGTTTGGCGTCTCGCTTCCGTCATCACCATGTGGAGTGAATGGAACAATATCTGAACTCTGAACATTGTAAAGCGCTTTGGGCGACCTTGATTTGTAAAAATGTCCATCCATCCATCCATTTTCTACCCTTTAATCCATTTCTGGGTCAGGGGGGTGGCAATCAGAGATGCCACCCAAGTCTCATAGCACCAGTTGTAAAAATGTGCTATAAATAAAGATGACTTACTTACATTGCTTTCTTCAAGAAGTGAACATAACTCATTGCCTGCCAGCCTATTTCAGAACAGGTACTCCCATATTGCCAGCCGTTTCTGATGGTTTTTACTGATTTTTCAAGACCCACAGAATATTGTGTACTATGGCTATCTAAAATTTGAAAGATTCTGAAAGAATGGACTGTCTACTTTCATCAGCAAAAATAATTTTGTTTCTAGCTTGTTTTGTTACCCTGTAATCCCCAGTCGAGTAAAGGGAAGTTTTGCTGAAATCACTAGAAAGCTGAGAAAAAAGGGGCACAACAAGTGCATCCTGTATTCAAAACTTCCAGAGGCAGCGCTGGTGCCGCCTGCTGGCTCGATAAAATATGCTCTAAAGCTAATCCCCATACATATTCGATATAATAGACATCTGGGAACATGAAAATAGCGGAAAACGCAATTGTACTCTTTGGTTTGACAATTGTCAATGGCAGTCAATGAGTTAAAGGGTTAAACCATTCCTAATGACTACTGAATGTTGTGTGTAATCTATTCTCCGTAGTATTTTTACTGAGAGTAGATTACACAAGTATATTTCAAGCTGTTCTGTGAGAGCCTTAGAGCTATAGTCGGAGTGTATGGGTCACAAAATAACATGATAACATAACAAGAAGCACACCAGAGGGGTCAGGGATAAAGTTGTGAGGAGGTTAAAAGCAGTGTTAAGCTATACCAAGAATTCTTAAGATTTGAACATCTCACAAAGCACTCTTCAATTCCTCATTCAGAAATGGAAAGAGTATGGCACCACTGCGAACTTACCCAGACACGGCCATCCTTAACTATCAAATCAAACTAGGAGATATGGACAAGTATACTCTACACAAATCTAGCCTTTTGAGTGGAAAAAATAAAGCCATTGACATGAGGCCATAAGTAATCCTGTTTTAAGTTTGCTTGAAGTCATATGGGGGACAGCTACATGTGGAAGAAGGTGCATTGGTCAGATGAGATAAAAATGTCACCAAACACAATAAAAACCTTTGGGCCCAAACAAAACATTAACCTTAACTATATGGCTCAAACCTTACACTTCTCATTGTCCTGAGTGCACCCTCCCCAGTGTCAAATATGGTAGCGGCAGCATCATGCTATGTGGCCACTTTCATTTTCCATCAGTTTGGTATTTTTTTCTTTACTTGAAATAAACATTCACTGTCAATTAGAATTCACAATCATGTGACTTGAAAAGGGGATGGAGGACGCTTGCGCTCAATCGCTTGAGTTGTTTAGTAAAGAGGAATGGGCTAAACGTTCTGTATCTAAATGTGCAAAACTTGTAGTCATGCACACAAATCTAAACTTTAAAAACAACAATGATGTTTAATTTTGCTTTCACTTCACAGTTGTGTGAGTTACACGTGTGTGAACCTTCAGTAGAAAATCTATATACAATGTGTTATTATGGTTGTAAACATGACAAAATGTGCAAGTTCAAGGTGAGAGGTTTGAGAGGCACTGCAGCTAGCCTATCGTGAGCCAAAATTTGACCAGCATTAAAGTTATTTATTATGGTACCTGATAATTTTTTTTTCATCTTCCCCTAACATGTAGTGGCCTCCCCATTGCCTTTTACTTCACAGTGTTTGGAACAGCTACTCAGAGAGCCCAGACTACCTCCCCTGTCTGCAACAGCAACAACTCAGTGTCTGCCTCTGGGACCAGTGGGCGTGTTCTGGGGGCTACCCCTCCGCCATTGGGCCAGACTTTGGCCAATGCAGTTGTTGGATCAATGAGCCAGGCTGGGGTCTCACCTGTAGCCAGGCCCACCCTAGCCGCCAGTCATGCCCTCCAGCCCAACTTGCTATCGCAGAGGCTGGTTCTTACATCTCAGGCCCAGGCACGGTTGCCTAGTAAGTGGCCACCCCTTAATCCCTTTTCAGCATCTCCCCTCTACCTTTGCACAGCAGAATGGGCTGCTCTGGTTTGAGGACTTACTAGGGGCACTGCTGATATGTTGTTGGTTTTATTTTGTGATTACAGCAAGAACACAAAAACTATTCATAATTCTACAGGAAAAAAGTTTGTAAAGTAGTACTTCGTGAAATCCTAAAAATGCATAACGTCATATCAGCAGCATCTCCATCGCCTCAGGAGTTCCCCGTTTCTTACGACCTGCATGTTCACTATAAACTATTATTTTACTGCACTTTTTACCTTAATGTTTTATCCTCCCTTCTTTTTATAAAGCCTCCCTGAAACCTTTACTAATGTTTTTTTTCTTGCTTAGCCCCTCTGCAGGACAAAAGCTACAACAACTTGTTGTTACTTGATATTTTTAGTTAGCATTGGAAAAAGGGTCACATTTTCTGACTGTTTTTCACCAATGTGAACAGCAAAGGATTTTCAAGTTCACTGTTTGAAAACCCTGAAAACGTTTTACCTTGACTTTATTTTCCGCACTGCTATGTGTCAGTGTTTTGTTTAATCTTTTTATCTCTCTGATCTACATGTGGCATTCATATAATGATCCTTTTTTTCCTTTCATTGTCAACATTTCAGATGAGTTGTTGCCTTTATTCGTGTGTATTCATCCTTTTATGTTTTGAGGACATGTGAAGCAGTTTCTTTACCCCTCAAGGTTCATATTGTTTGCTGCTGTTCTTGTTGAGAAATTTTGGCTGTTTCACATTAATACACCTTAGTTCTGCATGATGCCCTTTTCACCTTTACACTAACTATTTTTAGTATTTTTTTCAGAGATGCTGTCTTTAATCTTTTGCGGTATATAATATATATATATATATATTTTTTTTTAACTGTGTTTTGTTTTTAAGGTGGTGATGTGGTGAAGATTGCCCAATTGGCAAATATTGCTGGCAATCAGACTCGGATTTCTCAGCCTGAGACCCCAGTGACGCTCCAGTTTCAGGGGACTAAATTTACATTATCACCAAGCCAGCTCCGCCAGCTCACCACCGGACAGCCTTTACAGCTTCAAGGTACACTCGGTAATGTACTTCTCATCACAGACTTCTATGTTATCATATTTTCCATCTTCAGGTTTCTGTCTACACAAAACTATTTCAAATATGTCACTGTCCCATGAAAGGGAAAATGCAATATAGATTTAGCCATTTTTGTTTTTTCAAGGCAATATCCTGCAAATCGTCTCTGCCCCTGGACAGCAGATCATCAGGCCACAGGGTTCAATGGTAATGCAAACTGTTCCCCAAACTGGAGCTGCTGCTAATGCTACATCCACACCTGGCACCACTCACCCGGCTGCATCAGCACAGCAAGGTAATACTTGGATACAAAATCAGATGCCTCTTCTACACTATTGAAACTCTAGCAACCTCTTTTATCAGAGAGAAATGAGAACAATAATCCCAACTTTATATAAGGCTGTGGTCACAAGCACAACCCTAAAGCCCAGTTAAAAAGTGGGGCTAGGCCCAGATTGCGTTTGAATCCGATTCCAATAACACTTCAAACTGTTACTAAAGAGTCACTTTATTTTGTGGCCAAAACACACCAACATTCACTTAAATCCTCCCTGGCTCTGGTCGCTCTGCTTGTATGCCACACTTTTAATTCTTTCATTTTCATTTATTCATTTCTCAGGCTCACACGTTTACTCTTAAGGTGCTTTCACGTGCCTCGCCCTCGCACACACACACGTTACCCACAGAGCTGCTGCACATTGGAGAAAGATACATCTCACACTTGAACAAATTAACTTTGATTGCAATGAACGCGATCCATGCTCGAGCTGTTGGGCAGAGTAGCAGAGTGTAAACGGAAAGAGAAACGGAAATTTAACTCTGATCCCGAGGTAGTCGCTGAAGTTAGTATAAGCGGCAACAGCTAATACTAACTAGCAGGTGGCGTTGCACTACACCGCATTTGGGCTGGCACGGTTGAAAAATAAACCCCTCTGACCATGGGCCGTTTTCACATCCCTGTGGCGATCCCAGTTGGCCTAGTTTGTTTGTGCCCTAATATTATATTAATTCGGTTCAGTCCTTGTAAACCTGGTTTACAGGACTGGTTATCCTCAGACTATTGAATAGTCAATACTGATCTAAAACTATGGAATTATTAAATCCCCAGTTGCGGAAAAATATATCTGCTGATTTGTCCTAAAGGCAGATGTCGTCATCAATAGAGCTATAGGTTGCTAATCCCTGCCCTTGTGTGTTGGTTTGTACTTTTATGTTTGTGTAATGTTTACACTTCCAGCTATGGTCGTTACTACCAATTCAAATGCAGTTTCCACTAAGGTCACGGCTTCAGTCAATTCCACTCCACAGGTTAGTAGTTGTTCCACTTTGATCCTTCTAACACCTGTCAATAAACCACATTGTAAGTGTTTTTACATGTTTTGTTTTTGTTTCCATCTACATGGGAGTAAATGTTTTCCCCATCTTCTTCAGGAGTCTTCAGAAGAGAAGAACCAAATGACAAAGGAGCGTTTAGGACGCTTGTTTAAAGCCAATGAGCGGCGTTGCAGCCGCAGTGTGCTGTATGGTGCAGACCTGCTACATGCTTGTACAGTCTGTCCTGAACCAGCTCTTTCTGCTTTGACTGCTGGAGGCTGGCACTGGGTAGGACTGGAGAACTGCCTCAGAGCCACAAACTCCTCAAAAGGAGCCACATCTGCCCTGAAATCGTGTCTGTTGTCTGTCAAAGACCGCCTAGATGCTACTAACAGTTCAACCGCAAGGTATGAAAATACAATTGGCATAACTATAACGGCCCATCCAAAACACTGTAAATTACTTACGGTAATAGGTCAATGTTTTTCAGGTTGTCATGTGTAGTACCTTCAGCTATAGCTTTGCCTCCTCAAATATATGCAGTAAATCCAACAGTGCCATACCGTCTGGAACAGAAATCCTTCCAACATCACATGCTTCAGGCAATCTCCTCCCACAGAGCTGATATCCACAGATTAGCGCCAACACAACTTCAGTTTCCTGATTTGCAGTTGATGCAAATGGACTCCGGTGAGTTTAAAATCCTCAATGTGTTGTTACTATAAATGTTGTTGACAATTAATTCCATTAACAAGATAAAACTCTTTTACTTTTCTCTAGGAAAATTAGAAGCTATGGCCATTTTGTTGCACAAGCTGAGGTCAGAGAATCGCCGTGTGCTCATATTTACCCAGATGGTGAAGATGCTGGACATCCTGGAAACATTTCTCGATCATAGACAGATGTCCTATGTGCGGGTGGATGAAGGCTTTACTCCTGATGAAAGACTGGTAAAAGAATAATCATTTATGCAATCCTGGTTTTATTAGTTGATCAAAAGCGGTGTTTACAAAAATAATCCACAATATATCGCATTGTCACTTTACGATTCTTATTGATTCTGCATCCATCCATATAAAAAAATCATATTCTACATTTTTGAACAAAACTTTCAATGCAGCGTTTCAATGGCACGCATCAGATTTTGAGAATGGTGTGCACCTCATTTGCACAGGATCATCCAAAGTCGTATAATGAAATTGTATGCAAATCATATCGCCAAAAATAAGGCAAGGCATACCCCTTATGATCAAGAAAATATAGTTCCCTTACACCAGGGTCTCCTATGAGTGGAGAGGTCTGGTTTCCAATTTGGTAAAATAGTCTTCTTTCTTCCCTCCCTGCTGGATAATGTTCCATTCCAGGGCCTACAGACGAGTGCACATTTATACATGTAGATTTCAAATATACTCTTGTGTTTTTTGCTTGTTTTAATGTCTGTCGCTGCTTTCTCTGCAGGAGAACATGAAGAGATTTAACAGGAACAAACGGCTGTTCTGCTGTATCTTGACCAACTGTTGCTGCTCCTCAGTGGGAACTGTGTTTGATGCTGACACCATAATCTTCTATGACACTGAGCTAAATCCAAGCATAGACTCCCACACCCAGGAGTGGTGTGATAAGATCGGCCGCTCGAAGGATGTGCACATTTACAGGTATATCAAAATTGTGTTTATCTAAATATGACATTTATATCCACTCTATGTCCAAACTCAACCTCTGACCGTCTTAGGTTGGAGAGTGGAAATTCAATTGAAGAGAAGCTACTGAAGAATGGCACCAAAGACCTGATCAGAGAGGTGGCAGCTCAGGGCACAGACTACACTATGGCTTTTCTTACACAGGTATACACTCACAAACCCAGTGGAACATTTCCTCATGCCATGTGATATTTACCTATTGTCATGATATTTCTTTAATAGCGGACGATCCATGATCTTTTCGAGGTGGATACAGCATCAGGGGAGAAAGTGGAGGAGTTTGTCGTTCTTCATCAAGAGCCATCCACCTCTGAGGCCATTTCTCTCAAAGTGGCTCGGCCTTATATACAGGCTCTCCACAGCATAAACCTGGACGATGTACAAGAGGAAGAGCAACAAGATATGGAGGAGGAGGAGGAAATTAAGTCAGAAGAAGAACCAATTCTTGAGGATCAAGAAGAACCCGCCCAGATAAAAGAGTTGAATGCTGTTATGGAGCAGGTCTGTGATAATGTAAAATGCAAAATGGGGAACATGCCTCCAAAAGTGGTGCTAAAGTCAATTTGCTTCTTCTCATTCAGCTTACACCAATTGAAATGTATGCCCTCCATTACCTGGAATACATTCACGTCAGTGACGATGAGACTGCCATCAAGGTAATGGTGCTTTGTTAGTATCTGTACCCAGACCGGGCTGCTTTTTTTCTTTTATTATGCGCGGCTGTATAAAAAATGCCAAAACTTTCGAAGAATAGGATTTTGCGTTAAACTATTTTATTATTGCAATATTCTCCAGCTCTAGCTCCTGCTAAACTATATGCAGAGTTGTTTGTTCACTTGAATTTGCCCTCATCCCAGGAGCGTTTGGAGTCATCTAAAAGGAGTTGGGAACTTCACCAGCTCCAAAAGCTTAAAGTGGATGAAGAGGAGAGGCAGATGAGAGTAGATGATGAGGATCTCTTCACTTACACCAGAGAGGATGCGTACAACATGGTACAACACCTGTCATAATTTTCTGGTCATAAAAATGCACATGTTCCATTCAACAGTCTTTCTGCTCTTAACAGGAATATGTATTTGATGCAGAAGATGGCCACACTGAGATCATGCCTGTAAATTCATGGTTTTGTTGATTTAATTGCATATCAAAGATGTGTCCGGCCCTGACATTCTTTTCTTTTTATATATAGATTTGGACACCTCCTACACCACCACAGGACGACAATGACATTTACATAGATTCTGTAATGTGTCTTATGTATGATTCCACACCTATGCCAGAGTCCAAACTGCCTCCAATTTACATCCGCAAAGAGCACAAGCGTCTTAAGATGGACCCCTCGGGTATGTTGATGCACCTCCTTGTATTCTTCTAATGTAAATGAGAAAATGAGTCACATGACATCATTGTCTACTTAACAGCTGCTCGGAAAAAGAAAAAGGGACATGGGGAGACCGTCATTCCTCCTCGATCTCTCTTTGAAAAAGCTAGCATGTTAAAAGTACGACGTGAAGGAAAAGACCAGAAGAAGAATTTCTCTCTGAAGCAGCAGGCGCCTTTTGCAAAACCTTTGCCCTCCCTAGTTAAGCCTCCCATGGAGAGCAGCCAAGACAACCCAGAGTGGCTCATCAGTGAGGACTGGGCACTGCTTCAGGTTTCAGACTTTATTCAAATTAGGCATTTCAAAGTTCATGCACAGTAGCCACAGTGGAAGACACATCTTTATGTTCTGTTGTTTACAGGCTGTGAAGCAGCTGTTGGAGCTGCCTTTGAATCTGACTATAGTGTCCCCCGCCCACACGCCCAACTGGGATCTGGTCAGTGACGTGGTGAACTCCTGTAGCCGCATTTACCGTTCTCCCAAACAGTGTCGAAACCGATATGAGAATGTCATCATCCCGAGAGAAGAGGGCAAGGTGGTTTGTGTTTGTTTAGTTTGCTCTCATTCAGAAGCAGTTTAATGTAATTTTGATCTAACTGGTCATTTCTCAAATTGCAGTTGATGTATGAAGCAAATCCCAAGAAGAAAACGAAAAGCATATACAAGGTGACTTTTATAGTGGTTCCCAAAATGAAAGTCTGGATCAATGTTGTCTCAATTGCGCAGTGCTGTTGTGGTCAATGCGCACAGCAACTGGTGTGCACAAAATATGTTCACTCTACTTAAGTGGAACACAGTTTTTGCTCCCCACGCCACTTTTAAGTTGTGCAGAAAGGCAAGGGAACAGCGCCTGGATGGGGGGTCATTTGCATTGCGCATCTGGCACCACAGTGTTTCCCCACACATAGGCGAATTTGATACCTACCGCCACACATTGCGTTTCGTTTTTAACCCTCTAGGCGCTTTAAGTCAACAAGCAGCTGTACTGTTTAAAACCGCTTATAGATCCATGTTTAATACGGCAGAGTGTGTCAAGCGGTGTCAAAATTAATTCAAACTTCCTGCCACTAGTTGGCAGACATGTCAGACTATCTCCCTGGCCCCAAAAAACTTAATGCTCTCATACAAAATGTTTGAGCAAGACCGCGTTGAATCAGTGGAGAAACCATAGCAAAGCGAATACCGCTTCAAACACTAACTTTAGACACTTTGCTCAGAGTCAGTGGTGAGAACAGTGTTTATCAGAGTCAGTGCTGTCATTGGGAGGGTCGGAGACAGGTTAGATCTGCGGAGAACAAGCCTGGAAGTCGCGACCTCCAGGCTCTGCTAAAGTCTCCGCTTATAGTGCCTCTCACAGATGTTATTATCGTGCCTCCCGCCATCACGGGGACAGTAACGTGTTGGAGAAGCCTTTTTCTTGTGTTTGTTAGACAAGAGGGAGAGCAGGGGAGACAAGAGAGAGCGGGGGAGACACAGCAGCAGGGAGAGTCGCGGAGATACAGGCACGCGCTTCACCCCCCCCCCCACATACACACCGTGACACATTGCTAGTGTCACGGTGTGCTTCTCTGTACTGCGTAATAGATAGTTACGCAGTACAGAGAAGCATAAGGAAATGTATGTTATTTATATAAACTAACCTACCTATTTGTTTTGTTTTAGTCAAAGAACAGTCGACCTCTGAGAACTTGTCAGATTTACACTCAAGATGACAATTCAACACAAATTCAGTTGTATAACAGTCGGTTTGAGCTCATGAAAATCATTGCCAGCAAGAGGAGCCCGCCAATAAAGCCACTGTGAGTACTGACAACACCGAGATTAAGTGAACCTTAATACAATTCACAATTTTCTTTTATTGTTTTTTTTTCACAGTCTTGGCATGAACCCCTTTCAGAAAAACCCTAAACATGCCTCCGTTCTGGCTGAAAGGTCTGTTCACATTTATGTTTGACCCTGCTCTAAATACTCAGCATTAACTTAATTTACACTTTTTATTCAGTGGGATCAGCTACGACAAGCCCTTGCCTCCCATTCAAGTCGCATCCCAACGTGCAGAAAGAATTGCCAAGGAGAAAAAGGTGACTTATCACACTACATTAGACAACTTAAAGGAGCTATACCCGTTTCTGCAAGGTTTGAATGTTTAGCACCGCCCCCCAACTCGCTCACAGGCTTCTCATTTCCCCTTCGCTCTCATTCCACGGAGCCATCTGGTTTTATTTGCGATCTGATACATACATTAGCATGAGCGCAACTTCTTGTAAGCTGTACTGATGAAATGGTACAAAAGCAACGCACTGCTAACAAAATATATAGCTGAAAGATTACTGCCAGTTCCGCGTCCGAATGTAGTCCGAGCATAGATAGTCCGAGCGTAGATAGTCCGAGGCGGTCCTGCAGGTCTCTACCATAGACAAGTCTCTCCAGAGGATACGATGTAAGCTAGCTATGTTCGCCCGAGCTTGATTTCTTCTTTGATCATTTTTTCGCTTTAGTTCCCTCTTCTCTTCCTCACTGTTGTCGTTTGGCCTGTTTTGCTGTGTCTGCAGTTACAGCAAGAGGAGTTATAGCCAATTCTGCTAACATGCTACTGTGCTTAGCAGCGCTGTAGAAGCTAGAGGACGCTGCTCGTAACAGCGCCGTTCCTTGTTCTGTGAGTGGAGGAGAGCGAGCGTCACGCCAAGTCTCCACTCAGTACTTTTTATGGCCTGAATTCATACACAAGTTGAATCAATGAGCTTACCACTTGTCAGTGGTAAGTCTAAGTATTACTTTGACCGTCGGTACTACAATACTTATTCTAAGTAATACTTAGACTTACCACTAAAGCTTACTTTTTAATGATATCTCAGCAAATTCTTGCAATAATTTCAAATGGTCTTAAGGTTTGGATCTGGGATTGCGGGAAAACCTTGTCATCATTATGTCTACTATAATGAACATGCCCTATCTACTCTGTTAGGCTCTTGCAGAGCAGCAGAAAGCACAGCAGGTGGCGCAGCAGGCTGGAGGTCCTCAGGTTGCAGTGGCGGCAACAGGCCAGGCCCAAGGAGCAGCTCAAGTCCCTCAGGCTGCAGCTATTACAGGAGCTGCTGCAGTTCCAAATGCTGCTGTTTTGGTACAAACTGATGACGTCTATTGACACGTTTAATTTAATTATTGCGATTTAATCATCTGTCCGACTGATCCAAATGTATTTTTCAGGCTGGTGCCATCAAAAATGCCACCGTCGGTACTACAATTCAGGCTGGTATGTTGCAGCACATTATTTGTATTTCAATGCTGCTGTAGTGTGTAATGTATTCTTCCCTATGCTTACAGCCACAGTAGCGGGTAATGTGATTGTCAACACAGTCGCTGGAGTCCCTCCAAGTCCCTTCCAGGCCAATAAACGCCTGGTATCTCCATCTGTCATCCCAGGAACCCTGTCGGTGAGTCATGGCTCTCCATCAGAACTTCTTGCATTTTCAGACTGCTATAATTGGCTCATTGCTTTGGTGTTGTTGCAGCAGCCCGCTGGAGCAGCCGGGGCCCAGGTTGTACATGCTCAACAAAGAGCTGCCACAGCCGCTCCTACTGAGGTGGTTGCCATTACGACAGGACCGGGTGTGCGAGCCGTCACACCAATGACTGCCTCTGCTGTAGTGTCTACCACTTTGAGCCCTGTGCAAGCCCAGACACGCCCACTAGTCTCTCAAGTTACTCCAAGTATGAGCAGCAAGAACAATTAAAAGTGTTGGCTTTACTTCAGGTCTAATAAATGCATATTGTGTAGCTACAGGGATGACGCTGTCGCAGGGCAAACCTCTGATTCCGGCACATCTCCAGATGCTCCGGCAGCAGCAGCTCCAGCAGCAGCAGGCAGCTTCTCCTCAGATCAAAACGGTGGGGAAATCACAGGTACAGGGTCATACTCCAACAAGTTGCTGCAGTTAGGGCTAAGGATAGGGCTCTGAATGTGAAGCTCCTCACTGGTGAAATGCTAACATAGTGTTTGTGTCGTCATTAGGAGTTGTTGAAGATGCACAAACACAAGCTGCAGCTGCAGCAGCAGCAGCAACAGCAGGTGGCAGCGGCAGTAGCAGCAGCTCAGGGTCAGCAGGCTGCAGGGGCACAACAACAAACTCAGGTCCAATCTCAGACTGCACAGGTCAGTCCTCAGCTGACCGCTGTGGCTGCGCCCAGACCAGGAGCTGTGCTCACTGGGACCACTGTGGCCAACCTGCAGGTGGCTCGGCTGGTGAGGACCCTCTCACTAAACAGTTCATTATTCACTACAGCAGGATCCCAACTCTATGCGTCTTCTTTAGACTCGAGTTCCATCTCAGGGCCAGGGTCAGGCTGCCCAGGCAGCCCAAGTGACCCTTACAAAGCCCCCTGTGGTGTCCGTCCCAGCTGTGGTGTCCTCTGCTGGAGTCACCACTCTCCCAGTCACGGTCGCAGGGATCAGTGTTGCTATAGGACAAGCACAGAAGACAGGTGTGTTTGCCTCAGCACTTCAGCACACTGACTTTCTTTTTCAGATGATTTAATGTGTGCCTCTTTCTCAGGTGGGCCTGTGCTGACACCGTCCTTCCCTCAGATGCAGGTGCAGCAGCTGCTGCATATGAAGAAGCAGCAGCAGCAGGCCGCAGCTGCTGCGCAGCAGAAACAGCCACAGCAAACTCAAGCTACAGTTCAGCAGAAGGTTTGCTATGCCCTATTTTGTGCCAAAGGAACATTGTCTGGAGATGCAACATATAATACAACTAACACTTGTATGTATCTTACCAGTTACAATGTTGTGTTGCATAAAAATAAAAAGGGCACATTATGATATAGCTGAATAAACGTTTAATTTAGAAGTACCTAAAGTGTTAACATTGTTAGATATTAGATCGTATAATACATCCATTGTTAGCGCCTATCCACTGAAAGCTGTCAAACCAAGGAGGTGCGTTGAAACACTATATGAACCAAGGTGTAGCAGGGAAACTCATTACACAAAGCGGAGCAGTAGGGGCAGTGTCATGTGCAGCAGTGGAATGTTTGATTATGTTTAAAACAGTCACCAAACCAGGTGTCATCCGTGTTTTGTTTTTTTCTCTTGTCAGATTGCCACGCAGCAGGTGACTGTGCAGGCTGCTCCTGCAGGCCAGCAGCCGCAGCAGAAAGTGACCTACGCTGCCACTACACAGCTGCAGCCAGGCATAAAGACCCAGTTCTTCACCACCTCCATCGCCCAGGCCCAGAAACCCACCGGAGCTCAGCAGATTCAGGTACACCGCTCTCCAGCCACATCTACTCTTTTGACCAAGGACTCGTGTTTATCTGAAGCTTTCTTGTTTACAAGGTTGCTAAACTCCCACAAATAGTGCAGCAGCAGCCGACTGTGGCCAATATTCAACAGATAGTGTCTTCTTCTCAACAGGTAAAGGGAATTAATTTATCACTGGATTGTTTGCTTAGCTAAACCACATACCTTTCAGTAACAAGGGATTGTACTTGACAGAAAGATGTTTAATTTTGTTGGAATCTGGTTTTATTTTATTGTTTTTATTCAGGTAAAATCATGAATACTAAATATGGGTGGTATGTGGGTCTCAATGTTAGGCCTCTGCCTCTGGCATAAATTCATAGGTTCTCTGAAAAAGGGGGAGGGAAAGGGTAAAAGTAGTAGTCTTTAAGAAGGAGAATGATTGTAGTTGGAGTTTGGTATGAAAGAAGAGATAAAGATTGATTTTGATATGGAATTTTTCTCATTGAAATGGTCTCAAACTCTGAGCTTAGTATTAATTACATTAATTACATTACATTGTTTGGCAGGACCTTCATGGGAGGGTTGCCTTTTTCACTTACATTATATTACATATTATAAGAGATTTTATGCTTAAGAACTAGATCTTTCAAGGTTTGGAAAAGACTGTTTAGTTCATATGTTGGCATATATTTTTTCATTTTGTTCAGAGACAACGAATCGTTTCAGCTTTAAACAGAAATGTTGATTTTAAAGATGCATGCCTGCATTTTTTTGCCTGTCACATCTTTTAGATCAGTAAAAAAGAGAGGACCACCTTCACTCAGCCAAATCACTACCAAGCATTATATAGTGACTCACAAGGCTCTTGTGTTGTCTTATCAAAGTATAAGCAAATCTCTTGCATATTATTATTTCCAACAACATTGTTTGTCTTATTTGACAAAGCTCTAAGCCTTAAACTGAGAGTGTTAAGGAGCTAGGACTGCTTAATTGAAGTTGAAGTTTATTTAAGGACAGCGTGTAGTTACATTAAAAAGCTCTCTTCATGCTTTTTTCTATCCGTAGTCCCCAGATTCCTGACATGTTTTGGCAAAGTCTACCGCCAAGACATGTCACGTAATTAAGCAGAACTAACTTTTAAGATTGTAGCGTGAAGAAGACATAATGAACATTTAACATTCAAAGAAGTGACCCAAAAAAGGGTACCCTAGTTTTTAGGCTCAACTCGGACCATATACATGACAGCAATAAGGTTTGTTTTTTATTAAGCAAAAAATATTAAATTAGTGGTAAATTAGTGGTAAATCAGTGGCGAAGAGCGGAGTAGTAAGTGTATTGTTTTTCCCCATACTGACCAATATAGATATAACTAATTCAAACTTTCACATAATGAAACGTTATGCCATCTTTCATTTTTCATCAAAATTAACGATCTATAAATGACTACACCCCGGTGAAAATCCGTGAGTAGTTTTTTCATGTTGTCTCCTTTATTGTGGTGGTCAGATCCAGCCGCAGACCGTGGCGCTGACGCAGACTCAGGCCCAGGTGCAGATGATTCCGACAGGCACCGCGGCGGCCCAGGTTGTGCAGCACAAGATCCTCCAGCAGCAGGTCGTCACGGCAACCACTGCACCCGCTCAAATCCAGACTCCCCCTCCTCACAGCCCTGCCCAGCAGCAGGCCACTCCCCCCGCCACCTCAGAGACCACTGCCGTGCAGACTCCACAACAGACCACCAAGGGCCAGGCCAGACAGGCCAATGTCCGCGCCAAAACACCGGCCAAGTCCAGTGGCGGAAACGCGTAAATGAATGTTCACGTGCAGGAAAAGTCAACGCGGTATTGGAAGAAAAAAAAGTTTGTCAATTTGGTGAAGAGCTGTGTTGTCGACAGAGAAGTCACAGGTCATATCGTTGAGCTGAAGGACTGAATCATCTCTTTCAAAACTGATTCTTTTGATCAATGTGATTAATAAATCGTCTGAATATTGTTTTCACGACTGTGGACATACAAAAACATGAGGGCGACTGAGACGGTCTGTTTAGATTAAGTGTACCCCATTCATAGTCCTTTTATGTATCATTTCCTTGTTGTCTATAGATACCAAGAATGCACGTTCCTTTAGTCCTTTGTTTTTTATTGCCGCAAACACACTGTAAACATGTACTTTAGTATTTTGTGTTTTCTCATAAATGTCTTTTTTATTAATGTCAAACGAAATAACTGTAAATATCAATGAAAAACATTTGTACTTGTAAAGTAGTTGTGTTTTCATTGGGTTTTTCAGCCTAATTGTAATAAAGTGTTTTGTTTTTATACACAGGATACATTGTTTTTCATTTATTTATTTTAAGCCTGCTCATTAAATTCCTTGTAAGTATTTTCGGCTTGTTGATTTTTAATTTCTCTTTCGGTATGGAAACTCCACAAACGGTGTATGAGGCAACACTGATTAAATGATGTTACGAGGATCTCTCAGTAGTTAAACTGAGATACTTTCCTAGTTACATTCTTACTTACACGCTACATGCTTGACAGGACTATTACCATAAATATAGATCGCTTGTTTGGTGAATGCCTTCCTTAATGTTGCCTAGGCTGGGCTAATGTTGCCAACATTAATATTACAACGGTACTATATTTGCACACGAATCTCCCTGTGCTGTCGGAGGTGCATTGATTTCTCGGGCAGCAGCTGATAAATATATTTGGATTCTTCCCAAGGCTCCACAAAAGGCCATTTCTGCGGGGACCAGCTTTTGATTTTTCAGCAGACTTAAACAACAGATATGAGACGTTTGAGCATTGTGCATTTTATACTTTATTACTTACAGGTTGAAATAGTCTTTGCAGATACAGCAATATATCACTAAATACAATTACACCTAATTATATGACTGAACACCTCCCCATTTGTCCACACAGGGGCGCTATTGTGTTGGACTACCTTCCCAAGTTGGAGTAGTTTCTGTTCTCCTTTGAATTAGCAGCAATCAGCTGCCACCTAATTCACAGCACCAGCCCCCTCTGATGCTCCTGCAGGTGGGAGTACAGGAGTAAGGCTGTTCTGCTCTAAGGCCTGGATCTTTCAGTGCGTGCCAGTCTTCACGCAAGGTGTCTTGCTCAGGGACATACTAACAGCAGACAACACATGATTTATTTATTAGATTGTTTATATGTTTGGGACAGTGTACATTAATGACCACATCTCTCCGGATTGTAGCTTGGGCTGATTTGCATCCGCTGTCCCACAATCCCACTCACAAACACACACTCATTCACCCTAAACTGACATTGGAAGAACATGCAACAACTCCACACAGAATGGTGGAGTTGAACCCAGGACCCTGGCTTGCTGTGAAGCGCGTGCACTAACCACTAATGCTCTACCAACTGAGCCACTGGTGCCCAATGCCCATTCTTTAAAAATATATATTAGCCAAAGGTTTAAAACGTATATTCTAATGTAGGCCTTTTTTTCTTTGTTTCCTTTAGAAAGCAAGTCGAATGATGAATGAATGCAATAATTATCTGAATGCAGTTACTCATGTGTTTGCATGTGCTTCCCAACAGTGTTGACTGCTGGACAAATGGGTGAAGCCCACACAGCGGCTGTGTCTGAATGAAAAAAACTCTTGGCTCCATTTTCCTCTCCTCATCTTGCTGTTGCTTGAGAGTATTACATTTGGAGATTTGGAAAAAGATAATATCAGAGTATCATTTCAAGTAACCTGCTCTCATCTCACCTTGAATCTCAATAAAACACAGTCAGATGCACCTGAGAGGATGTACACAGGAGGGGCTTCAAAAACCATGAAGAGCTAAGAGGAGGAGCATAAATGACAGACTTCACACAACAGTGGGATGCCTTTGTGTCCCCAGAGCAGCTGAAAGCAGAGATACAGGTGGTGTGTGCAGGGAGGAGCCCCAGACCAACTCTCATTGTGTCCATGCTCCCAGCCAGACTCAACCCCAGGGGCCGTCGCTAGTGATGCTCCTCCACTGATGCTCATGATCACCGCTGCTGGAAGAGAAACAGGCCATCTATACTGAAAGGTTACTATGGCAACCCACAGCGACCCCTTTTGTGGAAATCACTGAGCAACAATCGTTTATGTAGAAAACACAAGCAGTGTTGTTCTCTTCTGGCACGCTCTGCATTCATTCTGGTTCCTCCATTCTGATCCGTGCCCCTCAACAGTACGTGGAGTAAACACTCGTGCACCAGACCTGATGCTGGGACGTTCTTGTCTAAAATGTCCCTGCTTCAACTGAGCACTGCCAAAGCCCCTATCCAGAAAAAATAGTAAATGTATGAGGACAATACCTTTCCTCAGAATACTTAGTCTTCTAGAGTGGATGTGACAAGTGAATAAGAGAATGACCTTATTTGGTACGCTTAGAGCTCTTTTTTTGTAAAGACCAGTGCTTTTTGTGACACTAACCTCTCATTTCACAGGACCAAAAGCACTGGTGTCAGGCTTGATATTAGTCAGAGGGCGACATGAGGGGACTGGGCGAGGGCACAGGAGCCCACGCTGCACTTCTTCTCTTATTGTGATTCCAAGTGTCACTGTACTTTGAAATCCACTGTAAGTCTGCCACCCACTCACTCCATGGATATTTATTTCCTCTTTCGTATTCGCCCATTCTGTCCTGATTACATTGTCCATGGTAATGTGAGGCGTGACAGCTGCATGTGAGCGTGGTGAACAGCCTTTGGTTTCCACAAGGGTTTTATCATTTCATCACGGTGACATGGTCAGTCGATATTACTCTTGTAAGATGGTCTTATGGATTGAATTGACCCCATTCAATTGATAAATTAATGAAACGATTCAGCTGGCAGCATGGGGAATCATTGCCTATTCTAAAGCATTGACCTGACTGGGAAATGCATTTTTCTCATTGAACACAACACAAGACTTCCCCTTTTTTGCTCTGGAAAGCCGTTGATTTAAGATTTGCACATTTCAAACCTATTCAACAGTTTGTGATAAACTGTGAATGATGTAAAACTATTAACTAAATATACAACTGTCCCACCAAGCAAAGCCAACACCAGTGTAAAAATGTAACCTCTCTTTAAGTCTTTGGTTGATAATATTTAGAGACATGATGGCTTTATACAGTACTTATAATTCCCCTACTTTAAGTAGTTTTGGGCACAAGTCACCTCTTGTCCATCATAATTTCCAACAAAAATAAATAAAGTATTGCTAACATGCATAAGAGCGAAAAAGAAAAATAACATGCAACAACTGCACACTGGTGGATTATTGTTTTGCATAATTCCCACTGTTTGCCAAATACAGCTCTGTGTAATTACCCAGATCCTCTGCCTCAGCACGCCGCATAAATCATCATCTTATTTCACTCAATTATGACACTTCCGCAATCTTCTATGTTGCCAAACCATGGACACATTTCAACATTTTGACTCATCTTTCCTCATGAATAATCCTTGTTTTCACTATCTGTTATCTCTTCATCTCATTCTGCACCAGCCTGTACCAACGCAGCAGCACCTCCAGGCCCCTGCCCCCAAAACAAACTAGCTCACATGCTGAAAGATGAATGTCCAACAAATGGAGGCGAGAGGTGGGCGAGGGCCCCATATGAGAGCTGTATTGTGCAGCCGGGACGTCCCACCACACCACCCCCTATAGCAGTTATCTAGGGGCCCCCACAGTCGGCCGAACAGGGGCCAGGGAGGTCGTGAGCCGGGATGGGAGGGGGCAGTGGTTGTGTCCCTATAGGATGTTATTTATTGGCTTACTTTGAATTTCAAGCTCCTGGGTGCACTCGCTGTCACCACCATTGATCTTTTTGAGGTCCCCCCCCCCCCAATTCACTCAGGCCCTGACTTCTCCAAATGAGCTGTGTCTGTACTCACATTTTTTGTTCATTCATTATCATGATTGGTCACAGACGATCAACGGCATTAGATGAACCACTTTTATTGTAAACATATTGTGACATTGTGGATGAAGGACATCATCTATTGTATAACATTGTTACACAATTGAGTCTTCCAAATATTGAATCTGCCAGTTACTCATTGACACAATAGGGAGCGTAAATATTGTTTAAAAAAAATTCAATGACCTTTAAATCTTTTCTTCCCAATCATTTTTTCTTTCCCCCCAAACGTGTCTGCTGTGTGTGTGTTCATGTTTGAACTCAACTTTATTAGTTGTGAAACTCTTTCCAATACTCGTGGCAACGTGGCTCTCCTGGGTTTGGCCCGTTTGGAGTAGAATGTTCTCAATGTAGCCGGTGTAGGTTTCCTCCAGGTGCTCTGGTTTGTTCTACCATAGATAATCATGAGCAATAATGAATGTGCTGCGTGAGTGAATAGTCGGTGTAAAAGGCCCAATGGCACCAGCAGTGGCCGTCCCACTTCTGTCACCACCGTGTATGGAATAAATACATTACAATAAATATGTATTAATATCATATCAATAAATATTACATGCTTTTTTAGTTTGGTGTCTGTGGGCCACAGTGCCCTGTGCTGCTGGACTGAAGCTTATAAGTGCCTCAGCTTTGTCTATAATGATTTAAATGAATTGGAGTTTACATTATTTCACATCAAGGATTTTAGTAATACTATCAAACTGGATTTGTTTTGTTTTGGTGGTTTTTCAAATTGGAAAATGATGAGCTGCAAACACAGTGATTGCAACAACAACAAAATCACCTAAAAAATGAAAAGCTAAAACTGAGTTATGGGCTTCACTGACTTTTACAAGACTTTCTCCACTGACTCCCACTGATGTCTGCTGTTGTTGTGTCCTTGGCAAG